TAGCGTGCCCATTGCTTGGATGCCACCACCTATACTAATATTTAGCCATAGTCCCGGAAGCTGCATTCAAGTGGTAACGTACCTGCGGCTTGCAACATAAAGCTGAACACATCTCCTGCTACGAACGTCTTCGTAAGCCACTTGTGGCTAATTAGCGAGTAGCGCTCTCCGTCGACTAAGAGGATTATCCGACCCAGTATGATGTAGATGGAGGCTGCGAATAGTGCCGGGGCAAGTAAGATGAGCAGCGACTGCATAATGAAGGGACCGAGTGCCCAGACATCGTCGTGTGAGAGGTAGCGTCCGATGTAACCTATAACCTCGACTGCATCATGTCAGCAACACCATGGGGAAGAAGGATGGCTATGCAATCTTACATAGACCTCCAATCACTAGTGGTGCGAAGTACCACGTCTTTCTTCTGATGAATTGGAAGATGTGCAAAAAGGTGGTAAGGCCGAATGCGACGACGAAGATGATTGCCGCTATCCGGTTTGGGATGTATCGGTACAGAACGTAGGCGGTTGGGTCGTCAAGCGCTGGGCGGTATGGTTCGGTGTCGGACATGTTGAGTCGAGTTGAAGACGAACGCAGGTAATGCGTCCTTGGATGCAGGTGTGATCATTCTCGAAGTGGGCTTCTCGAACATTTTAACAACAATTTCGTATCGCTCCTCGGTCAAGCCCGTCAAGCTAAGGATGCGTTCGCGTCCTGGCTGTGCGGAATACGTGATGCGAAATACGCTGCCAAGAGCGCTTGCCGAGCCGAGACGTTTTTTTTGCGGGCCCCGTATCGGCCGTATGGCTTCTGCCGCATTAGTGGGACGATTTGGGGGTTAAATTGTGCGGCACCCCGTCCAATACGGCGTATCAACAGCTGCAGTGCTTCGTTGAGATTGTGCGAATTGCACAGCCTCTCGCAAGCTTCGCAAGCTTCGCCATTTATTTGGTCCCAGATCAGTGATCATTGCGAAAAGATTTCGCCAAAAGAACCCACGACTTTAGGATGCGCCAAGAGGTGGTTTGCCAAAGCACAAGGACACCCGGTCAGGTTTACTCCCCGCGATAGGACATGACGAGTTATTGGCTGCGACACCAAAATGGATACAACTCGGTGTAACTCAGATCCTCACGAGGCTGTCGGAGTGGTCGTTGCGCTCCCGGCTTGAGCATGAATGATCTGTTGCGGCCAGTCGAGCCATTTTAGAAGATCTGGTGTCGCTGCTAGCAAATGTTCGCAGGCAGCAAGAAGCCATTGGGGCCACTTTACCACCCACCATACCGGGCGACATTGGGCCAGCATTGCTGCAAAATGGGTTGTGATGATGCATGTCACAGGGTTGTGAGCTGCGAGGAGATCGAAGAAATGGGTCTCCAACCTCGCAGGCCAAAGGAAGAGAAGGGAGTACTCGTCGCGATCGGGTGATATGTGCCGGAACCGGAGCCAGGTCGCGTTAAGTGCATCGATAGCTGTAGCGCAGGCCTCCTTGTCCTGACTGTCTAGTAGGAGTTCCGTGAGTTCCTTCAGTCGAAGAATCTCTTGAGGATTCTCCTCCCGTGCGAGCGTGTCCAACGCATCTAGCGCTTCAGGAGACGCCATATCTGTCATATGGGCAAACACCGAGCTGTCTTTGATTTGGTCCCAGTGAGGTATTACCACAACCTTGATGCCTTGCAATAACATGAAGCAGTGGTGGAGAGCGCGAATGGGATCCTCGGGGCGTTCAAGCTGCGCCGAACCGAAGTTGTACGTCAAGATTATCGAAGACAGCATGAACATCGGAATTGCCAGCTCAACGTTCGGCGTCTCCAGATTCTTTCGGTAAGTGTCCAAGGCTCGGCTGATGTGGGAATCTGCCTGGAGCAAAAGGCTCTGCCGCTCGTTGGGCGGAAGCAAGGATGCTTGATGGACTGCCGAAAGGGCGAGAAAACCACGAAGAAGGAAAGGATAGTCGAAGCCTAGTTCAATGAACTCGTTCTGCAGAGCGAAACGGTCAGTTCAACAATTCCACATAGTCTATCGGAGTGGACGAGTCTTACCTGCCAGACGACACTTCTAGTTGCAGGATTTGGATGCAGAGACTTGGCGCACGCTTTTGTCCAATGATGCAGCAAACGGAGGTCTGCGAGCGGAAGCTCGGAACTTGCAGGACTTGCTTCGGGACTTTCAGCATGATGTGTATCCACAAACGGAGAAGAAACGCCTGGACTGTGTTGTGGGGAGCCCGAGTAGCTGTCCGGTATTGCTGGGAAATGGCAGTGAATATCCAGGCGAACACAGTTCCCACAGCGCGGGCGCGCTTCATTGCACTGTACGACACGGTAAGCGACGACACGGATCACTGCAGAAGAGCCATAGCTTCGGATGCTTATAGCACTTGAGCACTATTCGCCGGGTAGGTACAGAAAATCGCACAGCACACGGTGATTGGCTGGTGAAGACGGAAGCTGGATCGAAGGTGGACACCTACTTTAGTATGTCTCTGCTTGCATTGGAAGCATCCCTTTCGCGACTTGGTGTGAGTCTTGCGCTTTGCGACGCGCTGTTCCGGCATAGTGGCGACAGCGGGATGGGTATATGAGTGCAATTGAGATGCACGATGCAGGTGATTTGGGCTGGGCGGCGGAAGATCTTCGGTTATGTAAGCCGCTAGCGAGCGACTGGCGTGGGCATTTCCCCGCGGATGTCCGTTTGGCCCCTTGCTTTCATTTCAGCTTGCTGAGGCACAGCACCAAACACCTGCTTTATGCTTCCCATCACCGAATCACGACGCGAGAGAATAGAAAATGAGAAGAAAATGACATTGTCAAATATCGGTTGTAGACTCCAATACGCCGGACTCCGAGAGACAAACCCCATCCCTGTTCGTGGAACGTCTGAACGCCTTCAAATCCAGATCAACACATTTCGCTCCGGCTCAGCTTCAAGACACAAGCATCGTGTCCATCCACATCAGTTCCAGTTCCTGAACTCCGCCTGCGCGTCGGCGTTGCGCCACCCCATGTTCTCCCTGCTTGCTTCCTCCAGGGCAGTTGGCTTCCTCGTCGATTGAGCGCCTGCGGGCGACGACTTCCTTGGCTGGTTAAGACGCTTGTCAAGGGCCGCTTGCTGGTTTGCGCGCATCTTTGGGCTTGTCAGCATTGCAAGTATGGTCGCACGCGAAGACCATACCTCAGCTTGGAGCTGTGCGCGCTCTTCCTTGCTAAGCTGCGGCTCTGGAGGTCGCTGCGATGCTGACGGCTGAGACTGTTCTTGACCCATGGTTTCAGTCTGGGAATATGCAGTGTAGAAGTGGTTGGTGAACTCCCTTGAAGTCAATGTAGACTTTGAGCGAGATTGCGGTGTCTTTGTTATTGATATATGTTGCTTGCATACCAAGCTTAGGCCACCTACGGCACGGTTATCCCGTTAGGCAACAACGCCAACGGCACGGCCACACCCTGAGGCGCATCTTCACAGCCTTGTGGTAGATGTACGATTTGCCTGAAATACATCTGATCAGGCTGTGCATCTTGCATTAGAGAGTTGTCGTTGCAACTGTATCACAACTCAGTGAAAGAGTGGATGCAGCTTTCTTCCAACCATGGTACTGGTCTGAGTCAAACTTACATCTTATTCTATACGGTTTCGTGTCTTACCACTTTAATTCCAACACTAAACTTTATCATAGAACCACTCTTACAAATTCAATCAGTTCTATACTAACCATCATCCTGGAATAACGAATTCATCATGCCGAACGCCAACAGTCCCTACCGCTGCATTGGCAAGGGCTTTTGCGGCAGCGTCTGGGCTGCTGAAGATGGCACGAATCATGCCATTAAACGCGAAGATGGAGGACCCGGACGATCCGTCACCAACGACTACAACATGCATCTGCGAATCATTCGGAGCGCAAACCAGCGTCGTCCTTCAATGCCTCTGGCCATACCACAGTGTCAGTCGTTGATATACTCGAACAATATGTGGTGGGTTGAAAACCTCCACCGCTTCCCTGCTGGCTTCACAGAGTGTAGAGCGCTTATATCAGAACGCATTCCCAAGATACCTCGACATATCAGCGACAAGATCGTAGACCTGTTCTGCGCGGGTAACGCTTCACTTTCGTCCTTTGTAAAAGGGAATAAAGACGACGACTGCTGTCTTATTCGTCCCTACCTAGGGCGACGGCGAGAACGCGAAGCAAACACATCGCGCTTCCAGCGGTTCAGTCTCAGAAACGTTCCGTTACATATCAACCAGATGGAAGACCTCGGCCTCGATTACGTCGCCTATGCGCAAACCATGGCAGACGCACTTGCCATGATGTACTGGGGCGCCAAAGTCGATGCCAATGACGTCGAGTTCGTACTCGCGCCTCCCCGAGCCTCGTCACGATCATTATTCCCGTCACACTATCTCGGCGAACACGTCATGTGGATCCTCGACTTTGACTGTGTAAAACACATGTCCATGGACGAAGCAGGGCTGAAGCAGGCGTGCGCAGCATTTATGAGGAATGACCCTTTCTACCCACGACCGGACAGTACTGGGACTCCTGACGGAGCGTTATGGTGGTTCTTTAGGCAGAGATTTCTGGACACTAGTGCGGAGATATTAGGAGATGGGAGCCCGCATGCAGGCCTACCACGGAGACTGATGGAGATGATTGAGGAGGAAGGCTGTAGGCGACGGAAGAAGAAAGAAGAGCTCCAAGAGCGGGATGAACACGTGATGTAAGGCTAGGATATATTGCGATGCAATTTCCACAAGTACATTCATATAGCTACAATTCATCGTGGGGCACTTCCGCCAAAAAGGAAGTCCATAGCAATCTCCCAAAGCGAAAACGAATACAAAAAGTAAACCACGGTCTTCTTGCAAGAGCGGGCCTGTATATATACCCCGCCATCGCTCCGGGCGCTCGTGGCTGACATTTAATCCACCACCAACGCCAAAAAGATACTCCCACACCATTTTCGAACCCAAAAAGAATGGCAAAAAGAGCAAAACAAGCAGCTTGACACGAGTGGGGTTCGAACCCACGCACATTTCTGTAGTAGAGATCCAAGCAGAGCTTAAATCTACCGCCTTAGACCACTCGGCCATCGTGTCTGATGGAGAAACTGGACAAATTTTGGAGATACAACGTTTATATTGCCAGTTACACAATGTAATAGCCGTGCTGTAGGCATAAAGAGAAGGACTTGGTGATGTTTGGTATCTTTGTCGTGGTGCGGGGTAGTGGAGGGGCAGGTCAACTGTGGTACAACATCGGCTTTGCAGCGTTGAAGCGGTATTGATGCGAATGCAGTACCGGCGAAAGAACACTGAAATGATTAAGACCAGAGAGTTGTTTCTTCTTCACTAACTTTCTCAAAACACACGAATAGATACATCAGGCCAAACGAGTGCATTAGTGAGAACCAAGCCTAAACCACTCCTCATCATGTACAAATCCATAAAACCAGCCCTAAACCTATATACACCCAGCCAGCCATTAGATCCCATGCAAACCACAAAAGCCCAACAGTTCAAACCCCTACTACTTCACCCCGCATCTACGCAACCCATCGCTTACCAAGAGTCTGCGCCGCCTGAGCATCATCAGGGTTGTTCTGAGCCAGCGCCGAAAGGATAGACGCAACATCATCCTGACGCTTCTCGATATCGCGACGGGCAGCAGCAGCAGCCTCAGGGTCGACCTCGGCGAGCGCGTCAAGGCAGTGGGCTGCATCGTCCTGGCGCTTCTCGACGTCGCGGCTCTCGATGTCGCGACGGGCAGCCGCAGCGGCCTGAGGGTCGACAGCCTCGAGATCATCGAGGCAGTGGGACACGTCCTGGCGCTTAGTAACGGACTTGGGGGTGGAGCTCATAGCGGGAGCAGCGGCGGCGGCGTCATCGGGGTTGTTTTGCGCGAGGGCTGCAAGGATGGAGGCGACGTCGTCCTGACGCTTCTCCATGTCGCGGATGTCGATGCTGCGGCTCTTAATGTCGCGGCGGGCTGCTGCTGCGGCCGCGGGGTCGACCTGCGCGAGGTTGTCGAGGCAGTGGGATACGTCGTCCTGACGCTTGGTGGTGGATGTAGAGGACATGGCCTGCTTGGCTGCGGCGGCATCGTCGGGGTTGTTGGCCTCGAGTGCGGCGAGGATGGAGCTCACGTCGTCCTGACGGCGGAGCTTAACCTTCATGGCTGAGGCGGCGGCATCGGCATCTTCGGGGTTGTTCGTGCGGAGAGCCTCGAGGATGGAGGCAACGTCGTCTTGGGGGCTGGCTGGGATGTGTTAGATAGATGTCCAATGAAGCATACTTCTTTATTCTTATCAAAACCTACCGGTAGCGAAGACGGCGCTGGAGAAAGCAGCAACGGCGACAAAGGCTGTGTAACGCATGTTTGCTGATTGGGGGGATTTGGAAGTATTGGTAGTGAGTAGATTGAAACTGAATAGAAGTGACCGGCACAGATATTACAAGATGATAGTACTGATAGGATGTTATTTGCTCAATTCAACTCAAGAAGACATCGAGCTCTAAATACCACAGTCCGGAGAGGTGATACCCGCACAGCCAAACATCTAAGCTTCGCCGCGTCAGATATCGAAGCTTATCACGAAACCCACCTTGCCTAGTTTCACGGTCTTGGTACGAGCCGAGTATGAAGATGCACCATTGCAGTGTTCGAATGCATTGCATGTTCCGCAGTCGGCAAGGAAGAGTGTGGTTGTTTGGTTTCCGATGTCCGGTCCTGGGAGGAGGGTTGGAGCGTTCACGTATCGTGTTTCGGAAACAGCCTCACCATCTACCCAGACGCAGATCTGAAACAACGCAGCCTCGGTATCTCTATACGACTTGCGCAGCAGCTCTTGCTTCTTCTGTGACCGTAGCAAGTATCACGTCGAACTGGGACCAAACGCGGAGGCGATGGAGACGTGCGCCGCGCGGACTTTGCCATGCGACGCTGCATGCTGATCTACTCACGGCTAGCCACAGCATCCTTCTACCCAGACGATTGCTAGATGCTGCCCTTTATAGTCTCATAGTCTCAATCATTCCTTCTCATTCGAGATAGTGTATTACGCGCGTGTTTCGATCGGGGGAGGGTCGTAGCGACGTGCGAAGTTCGCGGGGGCTCGGATCGCTTTCAACTCGGGGAGCTCCAAGTCGTGTCAACTGTGCATTCGATTCTATCAATTGACAGTCAGCTTGGTACTTCGAACTAATGTTGCTAAGCCCGTACCTGGTATCCGTTGCTTCCTTCGTGCCGCAGGTTGTCGAACAACAACAATGGGAATACGGTTACCATCCACCCACACGATATGCGCTCCTAGATATCCAGGTACACGACGCAACAGGCCTTGAGTGAGTTCCAGAGTCAAAGCATCTCTGTCTGTTCGTTCTCCAGCTTGCGCTCACGGTAGCGGGTCGTACCGAGGCAGCCTCGAAATCGCGGGGTTCTGGGGTAAACCATTCCAATGTCACACTGTCAACCTGCGGCAGGTCAGATGAACTATTTAGTAGTCAACGAGTGTGAAGTCGAACATCAGCGTCAGGGTGGGGTGGGAGCCTTGAACACCTACAAGCCTGAGAGCGAGCTCGAGCGAAAGCTTGGCATGACCAAGTCTCAATATCGGACAGCTCGAACAGCAGTAGCTCATCACGGAACGTGGCACGGGTATTGACAAGCGTCGGCATTGGTTTGGAGGGTCCATTCGAGTCCATTGAGTTCAACGTCAGTCATCCGCACATGTCATTACCATAGCTACAGCTTCCGCACATATACCCGGGTAAGGAAAGCGAGCCGTGGTGGTAGCTTGCTCTTCAGATTGCTCGTCTAAAGTACATGTTTTACACAATCTGACCGGCCACTAGAGTAGGAAAAGAGGTAGTAGTCGTCCCTATGCACACACCCATCCGCAAGAAAAGTTTTCCACCTTGCGGCACCCCCATACCGTTGACCCCAAATGTCCGGCAGTCCATGCAATGCACACATCTATGCGACGTAGAGGAGCAAGAAGGACATCATGAGCGCGAAAAGACCAGTGGCCTCAGCGAAGGCGAAACCGAGAACGGCGTACTGGAAGAGCTGACCCCTGAGGGAAGGGTTGCGGGCAACACCCTGGATGAGACCACCGAAAACCGTTCCGATACCGACACCGGCACCGGCAAGACCGATGGTAGCGAGACCGGCACCCTGGATCTTGGCGGCAGCGACCATGGCGGCAGCGGTGGACTCGGCGACGATGCCACGCTTCTGAATGACGTTGCGGGCGGCGTTGTTGCGGAAGGCGCTGCGGGCAGCGACGAGGGTGTTCTGCTGGGGAGCGCGGGCTGCAAGATGATGGTCAATGGCTGCTTGATGAGCTTGCAGAGCTCAAACCCAATGGCTTAAGCTGCTGCGGCAGGCGCGAGACATACCAGCGTTGGAGAAGCCACGGGCGGCCACGCGGGCGGCGCCGAAGGAGCGAGCGATGGCAACCATGGTGATGGTATTGACGGTCGGAGTGGAGATGAGTTGGAGATGAATTGGTCCTTCAATGGATGGGGAGTGGTGGGAGGAGGATGGAGGAGGTGGATGCAAAAACTCGCTGAAGGGTTGATTAGCCGCCAAGAGTCCGTGCGGGAGCTCACATCGGGTTAGCGCTCCCCGTTTACTCCCGACAACCTTTACCTCGTCGACTGTCGTGAAGTCTATGAGAGTGGTAATGACTTCTCCTAGCTGCTTATAGTCCTTCTAGGTCAGGCGAAGATGTCGGAGGATTCTTGAGAGCCCGCCGTCTTTACAGAGTTTGCAATCGCTCTGCAACCGCTCCACAAACATTCCCCTCAACCGACACAACCGATCTCAAGAGGTACCACGACATTGTTACACTTATGCATATTGCAACCCAATATTCTTCCGAATGCAAACACGAAGCTTAATCCAACCATGCAACAACCTTAGTGGAGATAGTTCTCTATTGTGTATAGGCTCTAACACGTTGTTTATATCAGTTCTGAACCTCATCTGTGGGGTACAGATAAGATGCGTAAAGACTGTAAGGACTGTAAAACACCTGCTAGCGACAATTCTTCTGATCAGTTCCAAGAGTCCAGAAAAGCTAGTAAAGCAAAGCCAAAGCCAAAGCAGTCAAGTATGATGTTCGCGAGGCTTCACAACGTGTCACCACATAAGTGATGGGTTGGAACCAGATGATCCATTTTGCATGATACACTTATAACGCAGCTATGATGTGTACACTGATAAGAATATGCTTTATCTTGTATGTATGTTCGCATAATGAAACATGATGCTATGTAGACGACAAGCAATATAATTTGTGGTATCCAGTGTTAGTCGTTCGGTCACAACTATCAGGACTCATCACGGATGTCACTGCACCCAGACTCACACGATACACACAACAAGAACAATCGTAGTGCTCACATCGAATTCAACGACGAAAGCTATTCCCATATAAGACTTTTGGTAAACATGACCCTTCCCACCTCATCCCATCCATGCCAACCATGCCATCCATCTACCCGTCCATCCATGTCGGCCGTAACAGCCCACCGCATCTCCTCGCATCAGCACTTGGTATCGGACTCAAAAAAGAAAGATTACAATACAGTCACAGCCCCGAAGGACCATGATAAGAAGTGGTATCGGACATTAGATGGTCGTAAAGACCGAGCGCAGAGCAGACGTCGACGCCCAACTCTCGTCGCAGGGAGATCACAGCAGGTGCGACTCGATCACTCCCCGCATGCGTGAAACAGTCATTAGTTGATAAAAGGAAACGCCTTATCAGGAAACAGTTGTGCTTATTCGACCATTGCGCTAATGGGCGTGCCAGCGCGGCTCTCATCCACGAATTCGCTCATCTTCATCTTCTTGTGTCGCGGGCTCTCGGCCTCGATCTCGTCCAACCGCCTCTTCAGGTCCGCTTCTCGCTGCTTGGTCTCCTCGAGCTCTTGCCTCAGGGTTGATTCCGTCTGTCGTGCTGACTGCTCGCTCTGTTCGAGTTCGCTAACACGGTTGCGGAAGAGATCGTTGATGAGCTCCATCTCCGAGACGCGTGTCTTGAGCGCAGTGTTCTGAGCGGCAAGAGTCTCGTACGGGAGAGGGGCTTCGAGGTGAGAGCCGTTGATCGAAGAGTTGGCGGGGGACGGAGCACGAATGCCAAAGCCTGGTAGCGAGGGCGAGTGGAAGTCGCCGCCATGCAGGGCCTGCTCGAACAAGTGTGATGGTGCGATGTTGGAGGGGTGGTTGAAGTTCGGGGTACCGGTGCGGGAGATGGGCGATTGCGAGCGGTCGGACAGTCCAGAAGAGATCTTGCCAGATGCGCGGCGGTGCTGGGCTAGGGCTAGCTGGCCATCAGCATCGGGGTGCGCGGCAGGAAGACCACCTTGGTCGCTTGTCTGTCATGTGTTAGTTGTGAAGGAGTTGTAGATTGACTTGCATACCCGCTTGCGTCCACCTGGTCCGCCAGTCTTGACGCGGTTCCGGCTCTTAATGACATCTGTCTTGAGACTGATGGGTCGCGGGCGTCCGTGTAGCTTCAAGAAGAGACCACAGGCATTGCAGAGAACAGCGCCAGATTCGTCGCGGCGCCAAAGAGGGGTGGTGGAGGTTGCGCAGTTTTGGCAGGACGGCTGCAGATTGTCAGCAGGAGCACTTCAGTGTTGCCAAAATCCATCAGGCTCGTCTCTGGACGACATCGCGAAAGAATGCGATGCGTCGAGGTCGCCTCGAGCGCGAGGCCAGAAGAAGTAGATAATGGCTACCTATCGATAAGGGGATAAGAGACAAATCGGCGTCTGGCTTGGAGCCATGACGCCAACATCGCAATCGTACGTACCGGAGAGCCAGCCTGACCACCAGCGGTTGCGGGCGCAGAGGTTGCATAAGTCATGCTGAGGCCATTAACGGGTTTACTGTTCTCCATGGTTAGCGAGGGCTGGAAAAGAAGTCGCGAAAACGCCAAGCTTTCAGTGATAAGCAGCAGGTGCGAGCGGAACGGCCGGCGGTTTGTGCCGCCGACGCAACTGCCAGTCTGGAGCCATTCACCACGCTCTCATAGTCCACGAGGAGTGAATACAACAACGCGGAGGTCTTTACGAATATTCCGTTTGAGAACCCTTCACGCATCTGTGCTTGTACACACTTGTCCCACACCACCGCAAAGAGAGCTTGGGTAATTCTGAAAACGTACCTGGGGGGTGAAGGCATTCTCTTCTCGGGCGTATCTCTCCTCATATTATCATTATTATCATTACTGTTCATATTCGCAGCGGGGCAATTCGACGCAGCCGACGCTAGCGTAGCTAGTGACGGCAGCTGAATCGAGGCATTGCTGCCATGCCTTTGTTGGGTGTAGGAAGCCACGGTCGAGCTTGAGGACGGTCGTGATCTATCGTGGCCGATCGACGGCAGCTTGTCGTCGAAGTTGGCGGTGGTAGACGTCTTGAAGGCGGGCAGGTCGAAAACCTGCAGGATCGAGGGTCTGCGGAACGAATCGTCGACCTGGGGCCGAGGGAGGATGGAGGTAGCCAGTGCGGAAGCCGTGGTGGGTAATTAGGTCGAGAAACGCGTGGCGCTCCTCGAGTAGCTGGTGATGTATCGGGTGGGAATGCCTTGGATGTCGAATGCGCACGTTTTGATGATGTACACCAAACAGGACGCGAGCAAGCGGATGGAGCTTCAAAAGAGTGTGTGTATTAAGTAAGGGAGCGACTGTAAAGACTGAAGGACAGAAAAGCAACAGGTACAAAGCAGTGTTGAAAGAGTGTGTCTGTCTGTTGAGAGGAATGAGCACGAGATTGAGCTACCAGGTACGCGATCCGTTCTCTGCGCTTTGGTGATAGGGGTCCCTCCGTATCGATAATACCCACCTTATTTAAAATTAGGATCTAACCACCTGCATGACCTCAGAACGCTGCCCGCAAGTGTCCCTCCAGTCTCTTTTGAGCCGGGCCGTTTTCCTGCAGTCGTACAAGCTTCAGCATGGTAATCTGAACCATACGATGACCTACTCAGCGATTCAGCCCTTAGTCACAAGCAAGGCATAGCACAATTCACACGCATTCAGCCTCCACAACGGCTCCCCATTATTGCCACGCCCGGTCCTACAGGACCCATGAACAAAGGGTCGTTGAAACGAAACAACCGTCCCGTCAGGCGCGTGATGGTTCACGCTGACCGGCGCTTATGGTATTGCCCCTGAGGCTCAATTACACTAGTCCCACAGCGGTCATGCACGTCTGTGCGCGTACCTTTGACTAGACCAATCACGTCTATCTTGTCTCCGGCTTGTGGCTGTCACGTAGATAGGGAGGTTCAAATTGGATAGACAGCCGTAGCGCGAACTATCGCACAGTCTGGAGAAGGGCATTTCCAGGGTCTCGTATCGGCTACACCAAGGATATACCAGTACGGTTTTGTTGAAAGATCACTTGATCGTAGAGATAGCGTTTGGGCAACAACGGTGACCCCATGGAATGTATCCCTGCCACCTGCACGGTGATTATGACTATCTACCAAAGGAGAACCAACCTTTCTTGGCTTGCGGCTTCTCCTCCTTCTTCTCCTCAACCGGCGCCTCTTCTGGCTCTGGCTCTGGCACCTGCGCTTGCGGCGTGCGCCCGGGATACTCTACGTAGTTCCATGCCACATCGAGGAAGAGAGGCTTGACTGGTACCGGCTTGATCTTTGGAGGCCATGTGACTAGGTTCTTCAGATCAACCGAGCCCGACGATGGGTACTCGTTCAGTCGCTCAACAACGGGCGCTGCGTTTGCCAGTCCGGCCTTGGACGCGGTATCAGAGTTTGCGAATAGTTGGGACAGCGCCACTACACCCCGGTAGTGCGAGTTCAGGTTTTCGAGATTCTCCTTGAGCGTCTTTGTCTGCTCCCCGGAGACTTCCATCTTAGGTGCGTTGGATGTTGAGGACGCCTGGGATTGTGGAGCAGATGCTGCTTGGTTTGCCAGTGTTAACGCCCTGTTGCAAAGCGCTAGAGCTTGCTTTGGCGTTGATAGGAATGCGTACGAGTGTGACAGATTCAAGCACTTCAGCGCCTGGAAGTATGCACGCTGTCCGTCGAGTTCGGAAATGAATCCGGTATCGCGAGCAGCACCACGGAGGTCCTTGACCGAGTCAATACTTTGCAGGATTGCATCGTACAAAGCGATGCGCTCCCGTAAGCGCGCCAGCTTACGGCCAGTGGGCTCTTCCCGTTCGACCCATTCCTTGCCGTCTTTGCGCGGTCGGCGCGGCTTTTGCGGAGGATTCGCGGGGAACGTGAGACCGTCGTCTTTGCCGATAAGCACTCGGTTGCGCCCGACTCGCCACGAAATGAGATCGTAGTTGACCGCTAGATTCGTGACACGAAGATCCTGCATGCGCGCATCGCCCTCATCGACACCTTCCTTCTCAAGCTCCTCAATCGCCCTTCGTGTTGCGTCGACCGCGTCTTGGCTCGCAATGAGGATGTCGTCGTAGGCGTTGGCACGGTCTTTGGGCGATGAGGTGGAAGTCGTAGATTGATCAAGGGCCGCGGAGGCGGTATCGACAGATGCTAGAGCCTGGCCAATCGCAGCGTCTACTACGTTTGCTGTTCGGCCGCGCCACGTAATCTGGGTGTCTGTTGACTATTAGCGATACCCTCTCGTTCGATCTGTGCTGCTTACGGGACGAAGCTGCTTCCTCTTCCTTCAGGGCTGCTGGGTCGAGCTTCTCTACGGCCTTGACCAGCTCTGCGTCGTCCTTTGGGAAGTACTTGGTCGCAACAGTCGGGACACCCACTGTACGTGGGATGCGACTCTGATAGGCAGCATAGCGGATGCTGGGGTCGGTAGTGCCTGCCAACACATCTTTGAACAGGTCCTTCCTCGTAGCCTTCAGCAGAGCGCTGTAGATGACTCGCGCCGCTGAGTACTTGGTGAGACACGGGGCCCAGCGCTGGGACGTCGCGTTCTTGCTCTTGATGCCCTCGGCTTGCTTCTCAAACTCATGCGCTCCAGCCAGAGTGTAGGCATACGCCTTTGCTTCGAGCACATCCGTCTCTGATGCTCCGCTTGCGCTCGTGTTGGAGATGAGTTCGATAACCTGGTTCGCGTATTGTGTAGCCTTGTGTAAGCGCGAGAGGATGTGTTTACGCGTAGAGCCGGTGATGTTCTTGTCGGCGTTCTCGTCGGAGTGAGAGGCTTTCATAGCCATGGCCTGCGCCCATGCCCTTTCCGAGTTGAGCAGGAGCAGGTGAAGAGCCCTATCACAGTCAGCTTCCAGGATGCGTCTCCTACACGTGACTCGTACTCATTGTTGTTCTTGATATCCTCCGCCGTGACCGGGGCCTTTACAGCATATTTCGCGTTCTTGGGTGTTGCCCGACCGAGTTTCTTGTTCACAATGCGGAGACGTCGCGACAACTGCTCATGGTAGGTATTGTAATCACCGATGAGGAACGCCGACTCCCGGTAGTCGGTCACGAACTTGGTGATATCCATGGCCGGGCAGCTGGTGTTGAGTGCAACTGTGGGGATGCGGCTGATGTGGAGGGGCATCAATTGGCGAGCTATCCATGGCCCTGCCAAGCGAATCGGAATCTCAGGTCATTGTCGCGCCGTAAACTTTTCGAGACATCATAGATATCGGGCCCGCCACTGCCACGCGCGCTACTCGTTCTTTCCCTTGTGTCTTTTGCTTTAGTCTCCTTCTTCTGAGTCAGCACTCTGTACATTGGTTTTCCCCTCCACCGCTTTTCGTGTACAGTAGTCCTCATCGCATAGCTGGAGGCATGCACGAGTGTGGGCAAACCCCAATACCCAGTCCTCTTGCCATCATATCTAATAGTGGCAGTTTATAGAATTCTTCAAAGCCTCTGGTAATCTGCGCCGGCCCCATCTGCGCTTCCTACATTCCAGGTGATGCTCGAGCGTGCTTCGACATGCCTCGAATCCGGCGGACGCCAGCTCTTCCGCGCTCCGAAGCCATGTCTACGCAGTCGGCGCACGTTGCACCCAACCCCTCGGCACCACGGTGCAAGCGATCTCAGTCTCTCGTCTTGGCAGGCCGCATCCCCGACTATCGAAGAAACAGGTGGTGATGGTGGCAATGGAGCGGCGAACAAGGCCAATACAGACCAGAAAACCCACGAGGGTCCAATGCTCGACTTTCTGTACCCGGAAAAGACCCTGGCGCTTCTTGGAAGACTATCCGTAAACCCGCTCAGTTCAATGGAACAGAGGCGACGACAGCCGTATGCGATTCGAGCCCGCCATTTTTCGACAATACAGGCGCAACCTGTGCAGGATGAAACACAAATGGATGTGGATAGGGTAGAACAGGCCAAAAAGGATGCGGTAGAGCTATTACAAGGGTCGGATGCAGTCACAGAATTGCAGACGTTACTAGATTCTCCGCCACCTGAGAAGCAAGAGTTGGCTTGGCAGTTGTATACTAGCATCCCCGAAGATCGCTTGGCGGAAGTAGAGACACTGCGAGTACAGCTCCTGGACTATCTTGTCAAGGACGGTGAGCCTACAGTACCGGAGCGAGTCATTCAGGTGTTTGACGGGCTTCGCCCAGCCGCGCGCCGGCTATCATCACACCGAGCAGCTATCAAAGCCTACGTTGCATTAGGGATGATAGGCCCGGCAGTTCGACTTTATGACAAGCTCGCCAGGCCCATTGCATCAGGAGGTCCCAGTCAGGTTCTACTGCATAGTGGCATAGATGCAATCCTTCGACGAGCCGTTCTCGACGAGCAGTGGGATCTCGCGTTTCGTGTCTTCAGAGAGTTCCATCGGAAAGCGCATTCCATTCGTGGTACTCCCACATACCACGCGATTCGCACCGGCAATACACTCCCAGAATTGTGGGGTCAGGCTGCAACATTACCAGAACTTCTGGAACATTTCAAGTCTTTCTTGCGTTACGTCAGGGAGTTTCAACACGAACTCACATCTACGCCATCTCGAGAGCGTGATCTGGCCTGCTTTGTCATGTCCTTCGTACCTCACGTAATGGATCGCGTCTTGCTTACAGAAAAATTCGACGATGATTTTGTTTGGGATTACTTCATCGGGCTCTTTGATAGTCTCCACTCTCTAAATCTCCCCACTTCAACTTGCTACGAGCACGCGATTCGAAAGATGTTGGACCTTCCAAAATACCGAGAATACACCAACCAGCGAAAGATTCCGCTCGAGCTATATAGAAGATACCGGCAACTTTATCTCTATGGGGACGAAAGCACTTCCGAAGGGCCACCATCACGGGTCTTGATCAGGTCCATGATCTATCAGCATTCTTCGAAAGGCGGCCTGGGACGTGTTCAGGATCATCTACACGATTTACGCACCTGGTACCCAACTAAGCCGCTACGGTCTGGTCTTCTCAAGTACCTGATTCGTACGTATGCCAGGGTTGGTAATGTGGAGAAGGTGGACGAATACGTCAATGAGCTTCGATTACATCACCCAGACGAAGTGACAATCAGCGTACTCTCATCACTTCCGTATGTGTATGCACGACGCGCGGATGTCGATGGCACCATCACCCAGTTCAAACGCATACACGAAGAGTTTCAGATGACCCCGGATACTGCTTGTTGGAATATTTTACTGCTTGCCTACGTCCGTTCCGAGGACCTCGATGGTGCTCTGGAATGCTTCAACAATTGCTTGGACTATGGCGTTGCACCAGATGTGAAAACTTTCGGGCCTCTGCTCGACTTCTGTGCCCATAGAGGTGATGTTGAGGCTTTCGAGACACTCTTCTCCAAAGCCAAGCAGATGGGGATACAACTTGACACGGATGTTCGTGCAAGAGCGGGCTATGTCGAAGCCTTTCTAAATGCGGGGGATCCAGAAGGCGCCGAAGCGATCGCATATGGCATGCTCAACAGTTATAAGGCAGGGACACTTCACGGATACCCTCTCTCACATACATGGAACTTGTTGATCCAACAGCGCGCAATGGACCGCGACCTAGCGGGTAGCAGGCAGCAATACAAACTAATGGTCGAGAACAACATCCCGCTGGATAGCTGGACTTACGGCAGTCTGATGCGAGCATTAGTCGAAGTAAAGCAGACCAACGCTGCTTACAAACTGCTGAGAGTCACAATGCCGGAACAAGGATACCGGGTCCATGCACTTCACTACGCCATAGTGATGACCGGTTTCTTGAGGGAGGGGCAGTATCAACTAGCTGTGGAAGCTCACGAAAGGATGAAGGCGCGCCAGGTTCCTCAAACCGAGAGCTCCCGCCAAGCTTCACTACAAGCGCTTGGTATGGCTGATTCCCGGCAGCTAAAGAGGAGAGGAGCCAAACATCCAAACTACAAGTTGCTTCGAGTCGAAGAGGCTCTTGAAGAGATGCTCGTCTCCAGTACAGCGCAGGAGATTGCGCACCGACAACCAGTACATGAACGATTTGACGATGTGGACAGCTTCGATGACCTTCGAGCGTCCTACTATGGCCTGATGATCTCGCTCTATAGCGCCAGATCGGCGTATAAACTCTGCAAGAAGCTTTTCCAAAAGGTCGAAGCGATGGCAGCAGAGTCCGGCACCTACGCTATACCACTGACCCTCGTCACGTCGATGATGGAGGCGCATCTGAAGGCAAACAACCACGCCGAAGTCGCAAACTTCTGGGACCTCGCGCGCACTTCCGCCGCAAAACTCACCAAGACCTTCCACCAAGCCGTGAACCAGAGCGCCCCTGTCCCAGACGACACCTCCATCACCGACCCTCTGATCCTCCAACGCTTCCAAGAAGCGCACATCTCCGACAACCGCCGCCAAATCCTCGCCAAGCCCGCCCGCATCTACATCCGCAGTCTCCTCGCGCAGTCCGACGCCGACAACCCCAACGCCGCGCAAGACGCCCAACGCACCATCCGCGACCTCCTCGTCAACGGCTTCACAGTCGACAACCTCACCTGGAACGAACTCATCCAGCAGCTCATCCACCGCAACCACATCATCGACGCCTTTTCCATCTGCGAAGAATACCTCATGCCCCGCTTCCCGGGTTGGCGCGAACTCATCCCCAACTTCATCCGCAACGACCGCAAAGGTTTCCAGTGGATGGAGCTGCGTCCGAATGATCTCAACAAAGCTAGTGTGCTGCCGCGGTACAAGACTATTATCTTGTTGGCGAAGGCTTTTGGCCAGGTTAAGAGCGATGAGAGGAATGGGGTTGGGTATGATGAGGAGGCTGGGGCTTGGTTGGCGGAGGTGCTTGAGAGTAAGGCGCCGTTGACTATGCGGGCTATTGATTCTATGCCGAGGACTTTTGATAAGTTGCAGCAGAGGCATTTTGGGGTTTTGTAGATGGTGGAGGGCGGTGTATGTGTAGATTATGTAGTATAGTATGATTGGAACGTATTGCATGTATTAAGAGTTTGGTTTGTTTACCGGTACTATGACGATGTATGCGTTTCACGTTTTGCTTGGGTCGCGTTGATGATTACAAGGTTGATGGTGGCGGTCGTACTGCGCGATACACGAAGTGCGTTCTTGGGAAATGAGATGTCATTAAGATACTACGAAAGACTACCGATACATGTTATTGAAGGAAAGAGATCATTGCTGGTAGTAAAGACCGTGTTTACAGAAACCAAAGCCACACAACGCCTGACGAGAACAGTCTTCATTCTTCCATTCCTTCCTCCATGGCGAGAAACTCTTCCCAAGCTTCGGTTGGTACGTCGTCCATATCGTCGTCGAATGGATCGAAGTGCGCTTCGTGGTCAGGTTGCAAACTGGTCTTTTGCGAGTTGTCGATGTGTGTGGTTGTTGGTACGGCTGATGGTGCGTTGGCGTCGTAGTCGATGGCGCCGTGGGAGAGGAGGAGGTCGACGATCTCGTTGTGCTTGTGAGCTTTTGCATGTCTCAACGCTGTCCAATAATTCCATTTCTTTGCGTTTACGTCGATGTCTTTGTGCTGCAGAAGTAGCTTCACAGCTTCCAGTTTGTTGGTTGCAACAGCAGTCACCAGAGGAGTTGTACCATACGCTTCGTCGTGTTTGTTCACGTCGATGTCTGGGTAAGCTAGCAGAGACGCGATCATTTCGCAATCATTCTTGCTAGCAGCGACCTGAAGGATAGTCTTACGCCTTCCTGGAAGAATTTTGTTCGGACCTCCGAAGTCCGGATGCTTTAGAAGTCGGTGAAGCAAATCTTCTTTGGTGAATGTGAGACTTGTTGATGAAACATCAGATGAGATGCGGTGACCATCTCTCATTGAGTCCGAGTATGCGAGTAGCAAGGAAGCCGTTTCCCAATGCCCCTCAGAGACTGCGTAGTGTAGAGGTTTTGCTGCACTGATAGCTTGGCAGTCAATATCAGCACTTCCATGGCGTATCAACTGCTCTACGACCATTGTTTGTCCTTTTGATGATGCATAGTGCAGAGGTGTCTCACCGTAATTGTCTCGGCAATTGACATCAGCACTTGGTAGGCTGAGCAACTGTTCTACGACTATTGTGTGTCCTTTTGATGATGCATAATGCAGGGGTGTTGCCGCTACCCTGTCTTGGGAATTGAGGATCACACTCGAGTGATGAATTAACTGCTCTACCACCATTGTATGGCCATTGGATGATGCATAGTGCAGAGGCGACGCTTCGTGATTGTCTCGGCAATTAACATCAACAGTTGGATGATGGATGAGCTGCTCTACAATAGCCTTATGCCCTTTCATGGCAGCCAGATGCAGTGCTCGCTTGCCGCGGGAGGTTTCCAAGGTCTTGTCGACGCGGCTGGAAGCGAGAAAGACTTGCATAACTTTTTCCCGTCCCAATAACGCTACCCAGTGTATTGGGGCATAGCTATTTCCTTGCCGATGATTGCAATCAATGCTAAGGTCATCAATCAACTTCGCCGTAAGTGCTTCGTGTCCTGTATGTATCGCAAATTCGAGTTTTTTCGGGGCAGATTGGTCTGTAAAATCGCACCCCAAACGGGCGAGGTACGCATCAACGATGCCAATATGACCCGCTTGTGAAAGGTAGTGCTTCAGTTTGAGTCCGGGAGCACGAAGTTCTTCTTGCGTCATGAACCCCAGTAAAGACTCGAACGTCTCGGTGCTATCACTTAAGATAGCTTCATGTAGGGGCAATCGATCGCTTCCATTCCTTGTATCCACTCTTGCGCCAACGTCAAGCAGATAATTGACCACCTCTACCTGGCCGGCTCTAGCAGCGCAATGCAAGACAGTGGATCCGTCATCGGCCTTCGTATCAACTGTCATGCCTGCGTCCAGGAAGACGCGCAGCCGGTTCAAGTCGCCCAAAGTGGCTACTTGCATGAAGTTTGATACACTGCATGGCTTTGCAGTACTGATGGTATTGGACTGTTGATCTTGCAAGTGTGTTTTGTCGTTATATTCATCGCGGCAGCTATGGCTTAGGGTAGGGTGATTCTTCTTTTGATGCCTCCTGAGATTGTCCTTTCGATTTGAAGTGAACACACAGCGCTCAACATGGCAACGGTGCTGTTCATTACCCGCACGGTGTTGAGATTTGATGTGACGTTCGAGGTCCAGACGAGAAGCAAAGCCTCTTGTACAGGTCCGGCATTTGTAAGGCTTTGTATGTGTTTTCAGATGCTTACTCCTATGTGTTAGTCAGGCCTTGTTACATAGTGGGCTAGTCTATTAGCTTACTTCAGCTTTCCTTGTGTATCAATTCGCTTGGAACAAAGATCGCACGCGAACTTCTCGAATGTCATTTTGGCGTCTTTCGCATGCCATCAGTAGGCGTCCGGTTTATATTTGTATTTGATTTGAGGCTGCAGGCGCCAAGCCGGTTTCCTGTCTGGCGTTCCAGATGGGACTGGCAACTTGGGCGCATTGACCTCAAAGGGCACGTAGGCTGTGTGCCGCTCAATTCGCAGTCGGTCTCATACCTAGCCTTACAAATAGCCGCACTCCCCGATCCCGCCTCTCAGTCGAAGACAGATTTCCGCCGTCAGCCTGCTCTTTGCTACACCAGCAACCTAGATACCTTCTACCCACTCAGCGATACTACCCACTACCCACCATCCTCAGGACAACGCTGATCTCCATACTACCAGCCTCGGCATTACCACAATGTCGCAGCAATTCCCTCCAACGACGTCCGAACGGGACTCCAACAACACTCCAGCGTTTGGAGCATACCACAACGACGACGATCAGGACTTTGTGTGAGTCACCTTTTTTTTTTAACATCATGCAGGTCTGCCTCCCAGCGCTTGATCACTCAAGACCAGAACCAATACAACAATGACGGGTGCGCCACGTTCTTCGTGCCCTTCCATCAGCCAGTCGCCGGTCACAGCTACGCCTCCTTTCCCCAGCAAGTTGCACGGGCCAATGAAATTCTTCCACATGCGCAGGCAGAGCAGCACGCTGGACCTCACTACCCCTGTCAAGACAATTCCTGGGACCCTGCCGCCTTCGATGCCTACCACACTGGAGGATTGCAGCATCACGGGACTCGCACTCATGGTTCAGCTGCCTTCCCAACCACACTGAACACACTCATCGATTACAACTCGAACAACCCAAAACAGGCACCTGGTGGAGGATTGCACCCCGAAACTGGCTTCTACAACACCTCGTTGAACCGTCTAGATATTGGAAATAACTTGGGACTTGCCCCACAGCTGCTTTGGCCAGACCCCTTGAGCAACACTTACGGCTATGATCAGCCAATCATGCCTACCACGGACTGGACCCAGCCTATTTCGGCCTTCCAGCCCAATCCAGCGCCAGCAGTTTTGACTGTTCCAGTCCCACCCACCACCGACGCAGCCAGCATTCGCTGCCCCGAAGGCTGCCCTGAGACCTTCGGTCGCAACGAAGAAATGCGGCGCCACATGAAGAAGCATGGAACGCCTCGCTTCAAGTGCCCCATCTACGATTGCCCCATGACATTCTACCGCAAGGACAAGCTACAGGACCACGCCAAGAAGGGCCACGGTAGCCGCGCATCCCTGAACATCCGTTAGTTCGCTACGTCTCACAGCATTCAGTAGGGCATGCATTGCTGTGTCGCAACGAGAGAGAAGACCACGAGGGTAAGATGGAGGTGTGCTACGGGCTTTCTTGGGCTTCGTCTTCGAGTCGCTATAGTTGTTCCGGTCTTTACAGCCTCTTCATTTTTTATTCCACACACACTCGTTACAGTTCGCTTTTACTATCCTTTTTGCTTTCTAGTTAGGTCGCTCCTTGTTAGTGAAATACAAGTCTTTCCTTTGCCTTGCCTGCCCATTCCCATCTCCATCGTGACAACCTTCCCCACCTCATTGCTCCCACAGAGCCTCACTTCGCCCCCAAAGTGCCCAGACTCCGGTGAGCCGTGGCGTTGACACGTCAATAAGCCACATCTATTAAGGGCACACTCGTCCAATCGCGAACAGAAAGGCTGCAGGTGCGATGGTCCTTCATGCGCAGTCTATCACACTTGTTGTTGTGCGTCGAAGGGCACGCGCGTCCAATGACAGGTTGGCGCGAAGTGGGGTCGACGCAGAGCTGGCGGGGCGAGGGGCACAGTGGCGTCGCTAGCGCGGTTGGGAGGGCGTGTGGCTGTTGGATTGTATATCTCCTCAGAGTTGCGTGTTGAATGTGCGTAGGATGCGCGCTGTGACTTCCGGTTCAAGAATAGAGACCGAGTGTGTATGAGAAGTGAACGAAGCGGAACGGCTTTCTCATCTACTCCATGAAAGCTGCACATCTTGGCCATCGATGAGAACAAGCAAGCTGGCCCATCGATTGACCTTTGCGACTACTCTAGTTTGGGTACTAGATTAAGTCGACTGAAGAATGGTTTACACAAAAGAGGTGGCTTGCTGGTCAATACCTCCGGGCTTTGCTCATCCATTGATCAGTATGTTCCGAGAAAACCCCACTTCACCCTGTCGGGTAGCTCCAGCTTGAGAATGACATACTACTCGTTGTAATACAATGCGTCATACAGTCGGATAACGACCGCCATAGTATAGTCAGTACAGGCAAATAGTCCTAACTTCAATGAGATCCTTCGGTCAATATCTCAAGAATGCAATCTCTGGTGGATGATACTGTTCGTCGAACAAAACCAGCATCCACGCTGTGATATTCGGCGCGTACGTCCGGACCTTGTTACTCTCTTCGAGTCCAGCCCATGTCTTTTCCAGAAGTCCCAAGCGCCCATCGCGTGTGATGTTGATATTTCCCAACAACAAAGCGAGCATGCATGCGCTGAGGCCGTAATTACCACTATCCAGCATGCACGAGGCGAGTCGGTTCCGAAATCGACATATATGTCCGAAAATTGCTATGCGGTCCGCCACCATTTGGTTATCGCAATCCTGCATGGTTCTAAATATGACAAGATAGCCCTAGGCACGGCATGAGGTGTAGTCTCGGGAAGTGGCAAAATTCTCGTAGAATCGATGGCTCCCTAGAAAAGTCCATTTCTCATCTTTGTTGATACTGGAAACATGGAGCATGTCGGCCATGTGTCTGCCACACAAGTCGTTGAAGTATGTTGCATCGAAACAGAGATCTGCACCTATCATATGGAGGTGCACGTCGTCTGATATCTTGGAAGACACCTCAATAGGGACCAGGAGAAATAACGCCGAGGCACATCTTTTCTCCTGGAATGTCCATGTTCGGCGGAACCAAGCATCTTGTGCAATGGACGTAAGCAGTTCAGTGGCCGCCTTAACTCGCTCACTTACTGGAGGCCATTCAGAGGACTCTCTGTTCGTCACATCCTTGTTGTATCTACAGTCGTAATAGAGGTATGTAATCAGCCGTTCTAAAGACAGATGATCCGTTATCGGTTGAGACAGTGGCGCCACCGTCCACTTGCTCTCTTCGTATACCCGATGCATGATCTTCAGATGTGCCTGGATGTCTGCCATTCTTGATCAATCCAAACAAATGCACACTTGCGAGATCTGGCAAACAGCATTGCGCGATGAAACACCAATGCCGGACAGCCGATAGGCATAGGTCCGCCTGCTTTCGACCAGTCCGATATATGATAGTGCGGTAGCGGTAACAGGCCTTCCATAAACTGTGTATGCTTCCAGCAGTAGGAGACAGTAATGTACGCCATGCCATCGGCATGTTCCTCTGGTGTCGTGAGCCGGTAGTCGTTGTAGCTATCGTCTGCAAGCCATCTCTCGACGGACACAGGCGTGATGAAACGAAGTCTGAGTGGCGTATTCTCCGGGACTCTATAGAGTGCCAGATCGAGAATCTTCTCAATCTCTTCGTGAAGAGCCTCTGGGGTACTGTATATCTCGTTCAAAGATAGATGGTCGTCGCGCTGCATGTTCGCGAACAAGAAACACAGATTGACAAATTGTTATTATCTGGGGAATTCGCGATCTTAAGGCCTAAAACGCTCCCTAGGCTCTTGAGCACATGTGGGTGCTGGTGATGAGAAGTGAGTTGCGGATGTGTAGTGGTTTGTTTGGGTGCCATGGACGACTCCAAAGGATATAAGCTCCAGGTATCGCGCTCGTCATGAGCCGGTATCTGTTGTTGGTGTTGTGTCAATCCAAAGCAGGTAGCGACACCAGGAAAGAACCTTGGAAGTGCTGTGCCACACTGCTCACGTGCAAAGTGGGGTGAAACCGCAACAAACCATACCAAACGCGGGAACCTCCCACCTCCATCACGCAGGCGCACCACAGCCCATCATGAAATGTGAATATTTTCATTACTTAATACTGGTAACCCAAAAAAAGCCAGCCAAACCAAAGCCGCAAACGAATGCATACCCAAATCTAACAAAACGCCCATTGCCCATTGCAAATGCCAAAAAGACTCGACCAAAACCCACCGCCCCGTCTATCGAGCGTATTTCATCGGATAGCATTAGACTCGTATATCAGGATATCGCGAAACCACCATTTTGAACGCCATAACAAACATGCACACACGTCGCATTTCCCATTGCCCGTTTCGCATCATCGCTATCATTAGTACAATGATCGTCGCTTCAGCTTATTCCTGCGTCACATTAGCACACATTCACCATCAAATCATCTCGCACTATGAAGTGAAGAACTTACGTAGCACCCCAACTCAACCGACTCTTCGACTTCGCTGCCTCAGGCCCCATCGCCGACCTCGGCCTCTCCTTCTCTTGTTCCTTCTCCTTCTGCGCCGCACCCGCTTCCGGTCCCGTCGCATTCGCAGTAACAGCATAGTAGCGCGGTGTAGTCGGTGTGTTGCGTCGCGGGTTCGGAGGACGCACGTTGGTGGGAAGAGGCGATGTCAACGGTGTATCGGCAGCTTGGGAGCCGACGGGTTTGGATGGGATGGCAGATGCGGCGGTGGAAGGACGGATGGACATGTTCTTGTCCTTGGGGGCGAGGACGCGACGCAGTTTGGATTCTTCGCGCTTGGGAAGGGCTTCTGGAGCTGGTGTTGCGGAATCGGTGGATGGCTGCTCGGGCTCTTGGGTCTTGCGGACGATCTTTTGCATCATGACCTTGAGACCGAGACTCCTCCTGCGATTGGTCTTGAGCTCTCTCAACTCAGCGGGTGGGACGTCGTGCGACATCAGGCTCCAGCGGTTGGGTGTCTCCTTAGGCGAGCTCTTGCTGCGGAGATGGCGTTGGGGAGTCTCTTGGATGCTGCCTTCACGTTCCGGGACTACGGGCATAGGTGGAATTGGTATCGTTTCCACGGGTGGCGCCTCGTCTGATGTCTTCGTCAGCGGTGGACTCGGTTCATGGATGAGTGTCGCACCACTTGAGCGAGCAGAGAAACGGTCAGGTCGGTCCATGGAGATGACACGCTGCCGGGTGCGCTGGGATCCGAGGCGCTCGTGATCGAGCATGAGCTGATACTTGGTGGCTTTGAGTTCGTCGATGGATTGCTGCAAGCGTTCAATCTCGTCTTGGTCCTGTGTGTGGAAGGTGGCAGCGGCGTCAAGTTCTCCTTGGATGTCCTTGACGTAGTGATCCTTCTCCGCAATGGTATTCCTCAGCAACTCCATCTCTTCGTCCTTGCTGGCAAGTGCTTCCCGTAGCTCGGACACCTGACCCTCCATGCGCTGGAAATGAACACGATGCACTACGCTTGGGCGCGCGGTCTCCATGTCCTCGTTGACTTCCATCTCTTGGCTGAGCTGCACCTTGATAGCCTCAGCCTCTTGGAGCGCAGTAAACAAGCGGGCATTAGCCTCGACCAGTCGCTTCTCGAGAGCGGCCACCTCGGCGTATAGGCGAAGGTTGTCTTGCTGGGTGGTGTTGAACATAGCCTCGAGCTCCTCCTTGTCGTGCTCATCCTCATCAATCGTTGGCAATCGTCCGACCACGGAGTTTGCTCGACTTCTGGGCTGTGGCTCAAGTTCCGCCAGCTTAACGGCGGACTCCTCCAACTGCTCTCGAGTCTGAGTGTGTTTTTCTCGCTCTTCCTTGAGGGCCTTTTGTATCTTCTTGGCAACATCCCATGATCTTTGCAGCTCGGCTTGCTGATTGACAACCTCCTCCTTGGTCTGGGCACTGGCAGCGAGTTGTTCTCGCAGCTTTGCAATAATCACATCCTTGTCTTCCTCAACTTCCGGAGAACTTCTGCCCTTCTTGATCCGTAGCATTCGGACTTCAAGGGCATGGTCCCCATCGTCCCCGTCTTCCGAAAACCGCGGGCTCGACTGTCGTTCCATAGAGATCAACCGCTCCCTCATTAGCTTCAGCTGCGCATCTTTGACTTCCATTATCGTCTTGTGTTGCCTGGCCATCTCTTCAAGCTGGCTATCGCGGTCCTGTATGCTCTTGTCTTTCTGCTCGTTGCCCTTTCGAAGTGCAAACAGCTCGATGTCTTTCCGGTATACAATCGCTTGATGGTCCCGGCCCAAGTTTTGTTTGATGGCTTTCAACTGATCACGGAGGCCAGAGTATTCCGCAAAGGTATCATTGAGCGCTTCGCGTGCATTTTGAAGTTCCTCCTTCGTGATTCGAAGTTGGACTTCACGGGCCTTGTGTGCTGTTTTAGATTCCGTGAGCGAGCGTTGCAGTCGCACGATCTCGCTATCTTTAGGGTCAACGGCGATCGTTTTTGTGTCGGATGCCCCTGATTGAGAAGTCGAGATTGGCTCAATGGGCTCGAAATCTTCATCCTCGACGGCGGATGTCTTGGGAATGGGCACGGTAGCCGCATTGGCCAGATCACAAGGCGTTTGGGCCCGGGGGGTTTCGGATGACGAGGGCGAGCGGGGTTGAAGATCTGATTCGCTATCACAATCGGTAGCGCCCGCCGCTAAGACTCGCTGAAACACGTCAAACGCGACCATGACGAAAACAAGTATCAATAAATCGCCTGCTTCGAGTTTGTGGTTTGCGCAGCTGGCGAGTGCGACGAGGTGCAATGCGTTTGCAATTGACGTCTGATGTCTGTTCGCCCAAGTGTCGGGCCGTTGGCGCGCAACTAGGAGAAAAGTGCCCGGTAAGGCTGTGACGATGACCGTGGAAAGGGGCGAGTCAAAAGCAAAGTCCAATACCCTGCGCCGCGTGTCGATCAGGTTGTGCAATCCCGACGTAAGTCCGAAAACTTCAGTGTCGCGCGTCCTGCTGAGAAGACGGTAGACGCCACTTACGACTGGAGTGTCGCCTGTAGCGGGATTAGTAAACCAACGAGGTGTGCAGGGCGTCCATGCGAAGACGAGCCGCTTGGTAACATACCTGGTCTGGATCCTGGCCCTGCGAGCTCAGATGGGTGACTGGCGGTACAGACAGCTGGAGTAGCTATCGAACCAAGAGTAGTCGTCAACGTCGATGACAAAGTCGATGGCTCTATAGATGATGATATAGTCTCTCCCGCAGCTAAAAGAAACCTTCGGGTCAAAGCAGGGGTAAATCCTGCGTCGGTAGGTAGCGGATAACGTTGTGAAGTGTCTTGGGCTCCGTCAAACGCTCTCAGCATTCTGGTACGAGCCAAGCTGTCGAACGGTTCGTGGTGAGACGTGGAATCGAGAGGCTGGAATTAGGCGAGTCGAAGAGTGAAGCGAGGGGTGGTGGCCTTGGGCGTCGTGATAATAGAGTTCATTAAGTTGACGTCAAGATGCTATACGTTGGGTGTACAAGATGCAATGGCCGTGAACATGATACCGCCAAACTCCAAAAAGAACAGTAACAAATGGATCGTGAACAAGTTGGGGCATTGATGAGATAAAGGGGAAGCTCGCATAAATGAGCAATTGAAGTGAGGGGTTGCATGTGAGCTGTGACGCCGTGCTCGACTGCTTGCGTGATGGATATCGCAGCAAAAGTAACGGAGACATGCAGGGATCCCCGCAACTAAAGCCCGCTGCCCTAGATTTCGAACTGCTTGAAGCCCTCGACCAAGCCATCGCTAATCTTGGAGGGAATTGCCCACACAGGCAGATAGTGCTGCACCTCGTCGAAAGCAGGGATGTCGCCTGTGTTGGCGTCCGACCACATGCACACGACCCTTCCAGAAAGTTTCGATTGTTCTTTGGCGTTCCAAGTCACGCTAACGTTCCAGGGCTGCCCAAATTCGCGATGCCACAGTCGCACTTCCCGGGCGCCGTCCCCACCGACGGGTTTGAAGCGAGGATCTGAAACGGCGCCGTCGACGCTCAACGCTGTAATGGGCGAGTCGAACAGCACGCGACATGCTCGGGTGTTGTGCCCAACAACGCGTATCGTCGCCTTGTTCGAGTGATTGCCTTTATGAATCGAGTAATCGAGCCAGCTGGCAATGTATGTGTTGTTGTCAAATGGCGCGGCTTGCGCTGTCTTTGGGACGACTTTAGCGTCAAGACCCTGCCACTGGCACTGCTTTAGTTCCTTACGCGTCGCAACCTCGGGCGTCGTGCAATCAAGCTGCTGGCCTTGCGCACTGGGTAACTCGCCAACAATGCGTTGCACATAGCCGTCCAAGCCGGTCAGGGACATGACGTTATGACCAGTCTCGCAATTAACCCGCTGGACGAAGTACACCTTTAAGCGATGATCCCTGCTGAAAGGGAACGCAACAAGGTTGTAGATGACGGTTGCGACGCATATCAGGAATAAAAAGGTGGGGATGTGATATGTGAAGCGGTGAATAAACGGGCCGGTGGGTGCGAGCAACAACACAGTAAGCGCTGCGAAGGCGAGGTAAATAAACAGAGGCGAGTTACCATCGGATGGCGTCTGGTATAGGGCCGACGTGAGGAGTAAAGCGACCTGTCCGACAAGGATGATCACGATTGGCGCTAAGAGTAGCAGTTGAACGACCCAGATCCAGCTCGGTAATTTGCCGCTCCACTCTTGTTCTCCAGGATACACGTTGCCGAGATCTATTCGCCGGGGCCCTTGAGCATGATCCTCGCCGCTCTCGCTGATGGAGTCTCGCCTGTTGCCGCCGTATCTTGCGAATCCACGTCGATCGCCGCGTAAAAGTGAGGTGGTCTCGGTGGCGTCATCGTCTCCCACGGGGCGATCATCGGACCGTGCAGCGGTGGTGCTGCCTGTAAGGGGCCTGCTTGCGGACTCTGAGTTGCGCCGGGATTCGTCTTCCTGCTCGAAATGACGGGCATACGCAGATTTGGTTGGAGCGAGGAAGAGTTCGAGGTAGGAGAGGAGGATTGCCGCGAACACAGCTGCGAAGTAGAACATCGCAGAATAACCAGCGGCAACCTGGTAGTCGTTCACGAAGACCGTGATGATTGTGAGAAGCACGAAGGAGCCGATGAAAAGCCAGATCAAAGCGTACATGCGCTGGAGTGCTGATGGCCGCATAGCATCGGCCCCTCGCGCAAGGAACCAAGCGATGAATATCCAGGCTGAGAGCATCATGCTGTTGATATCGTTAGCAGTGGACAGAGTAGCAGCATGAGCGACCTACCTCCAGACGGCGAATGGGCTGCTGTAAACAATGAAGGGATTGAACCGGACTATGAGATAAGCCAATGCGACCACAACAGCACTTGCAGTGACAAAGATGATGGGGAAGCGGAAGAAGCCGCGCCAGCCGTATAAAGGTACCGGATTGTCATCGTCAGACGAATAGATGTAGGCTTTGCGCGCCAATAGGTAGTTCTTGTCAGCCTTGGAGAGCCCAAACGTCAAACCGATCAATGTAAGAGGTGCCACAACCAGCAAAGTGACGCACAAAGCGAAAAGGGTATGTAGCTTAAAAACGACGAACACCTTGCCGAAGAGGTCAAACCATACGCCGTCGCTGCCAGTTCCGGTATTGATTCTACCGTTATCGAGGCTTTCTGAGCCACTGAATTCGTCACTGGTGATGGAAGCCAATCCAGATGTTGAGGCCAGAGCTGCTGAAAGCATGTGCCAGAGCGAGTTCATCGAAGTTTCACGTGTGGAGTCTTCCACAGTGTGGTATCTGGCCCTGGGCTCCATGAACGCGATGTCCAGGCCGCGTAGCCCAAGTTCGCCGTGGAAGACTTTGTAATCAGTTTCGCTTCGAATGTAACCCTTTTTGAAGCCATCTCCGCTCACGACTGTTCCGAAAGGATATTTAGCCTTTTTGTAGTAGCGGGTGATTTCGGTATCGGTGCTTCTGAACAAGGTAGCTCTGCCGCCAGCTCCAGCTCCCTCGAGGTTTACGAACGTATGGGCGACCTGAGAAATCGGATTCCGCATGAAAGCTTTGGCGCCGTTGAGATAATCCTCTTCGCCGTTGTTGAGCAACAGTACCACGGTTCTTTTGGGCCAGTTCTTGGATTCTGTGAAGTAGGATAAAAGTTGCAGTATCGTCACAACACCCACGCCATCGTCAGTTGCACCGTACCCGCTGCTCACTGAGTCGTAATGGGCGTTCACAAGTACGCCGCCGTTATCCGGACTGCGCTCAGTCCCATTGAAGGGTTCGTCATCATCAGAACCGCGGATTGCAACAATGATATTAGTGCCTTCAAAATAGATAGATGTGCTGCCAGATGAAAATGTGGCGTTTGCGGTCAGGTCATCGAAGAGCTCGACTTGGCCCTTATCCAGGTCTTTTGAAGTAACGATGGCCTTGATGCGCGCAAGCAGATATTTGCGTACATCGTCGTTCGCGTGGCTGTTGTATGGGTGGAACCGGCGGGTAATGTGCTGGAGGTCGCCCCAAGCTTCTGTGAGGTTGACGCCGGTTGGCGGATTGGATGGATAATTCGGTACCGTCAGGTGGGTAACGAGCAGGGCAGCAAAGAGGCCCACGTAGACGATGGTAGTAAAGAAGATGACTGGCCCAGGCGTGAAGGAGAAGGGGTTGAGGCGGGCCATGACAGCTCTCGTGGCGCCACGTAGCTTTCAAAAGCTTTCAGTGGGAAGAGATGACGCAAGATGCAGTAGAGTCGGTGGTTGTAGCTATGCTTGGTGATGGCGGGCGGGGCGTCCTCGTGCATTGCATGTGATGTGCATATGTCATGGGCCATAGCTCCCAAGCTTAGCCGCATGCGTATCTAGTCGCGTCAAGAACCCCAAGCTTTCTGTCATCACTCACAATCACGACGGAGTCGAATTGCATCAGCATCGCGTTCATACGCCCGCAGTGTATATTGGTATTTGCCTTAGCGACCAATTGTCCTCGTGCTGATCATGGGCCTCGAGGCGCGCTTGCCACCAATCCAGCCGGATGTGGACGCGTCAGACAATGAGGCATCAAACAGAGTAGAAGATGTCGCGGAACTGCCAGTACTCACAACTTCACCGACAGCCCATTCGGGATGCTGTTTAGCTCTCAGCGAAACCCTCATTGCCTACCTCGCCTCGCTCCTTCCTCAGCCTCCCGCGCTTGCTCTATCCGTCGGAAGCGGCTTCGGCCTCCTCGAAAGCTATCTCATCACCAAACCCTACGCGTACCATGTCATTGGTGTTGAAGTAGAGCCGAGCTCGAACAGATACTTGCCCTCTTCGAACCATCGCGTCGTTCACGGCACGCGTTTTCTTGAGCCGCTCGCAGAGGAGGCTACGACATGGCTTTTCGTATACCCGCGACGCGTTGGGCTAGTACGCGAATACCTTGCACAGTATGGCCAGGACAGCGTGGACAGAGTGATATGGGCAGGCCCCAAATCGGATTGGGATGACTACAAGGCATGCTTTGCCGGATGGACTGTGGAAGAGCAGAGCGCCGAGCAGATCGGTGGAAGGGCATGGGAACTGATCGCCGTCGCACACAGGCCCACGTCATGAAGCGATATGTCTGTTATGGCGGACGTGTCCATCCTCGACGCTCACTTCACGTGTTTCCCCTGATCTCATCGTCTCCGACCATGCGCAGGCTTCATGCCTAGTGAGAGCATGATAATTCCTGCCAGTGACCAGAGCCTCATTCTGGCTCGATACTCTGACATCGATGACTGGATCGCCATTTGGCGCGCTGAGCCAAATCTGAGTGTAAGTTACGCTCATGTCGCAATGCTGCATTGGTCTCTGAAGTGCACGCTCTTGGTTTCATTGTCTCGCCTCTCACAACAACGCCGAAGTTTTCTCTTTCGGCGGACAAAGGCAATGTGAACTTCATATTGATGCTAGGGTGGCGGCCTTTCACTCGAAACTCTGTTTGTCTTATACGACCTGGAGAGGACGCTTTGTCTCATCAGCTACATGTCTGATGTCTTCTCAGGTTTGAGACACTCCATACATCGCCCATCTCAACAAGGCACGCCCTCATGATATTACACCATATGTGTTCACACCCTCGAGAATACGATAACGACACACACATTTTCTAGACCCATCAGCACAATCGCCTACCATGGACGCCCTTCCTGGCGCTGTAATGCAGGCCTTTGCGCACCTGTGGAACCAACACCCCGAAGTAGCAGCTGGTATCTACGCTGCAGGTGCCGTCGCTGCTGCTGTGCCGCATTACATACCAACCTTTGAGCAGGCTAAGGTTTGGTATCAGAAACCCAGGCCTCTTACGACATCTGTCGCCAAACCCTTCCACACCATCGAAGACGCAGCCGGAATCGTGAAATCAATAGTTACCAAAGTTCCCCGGCCTACCCTTATCACCGTCACTAGTTCTGTCTCACCGGCCTGCAACACACCCTCCACTGTCGAACAGCAAGCCAAAGTTGAAGTTTTGGACACTCCCTTGTCTTCCGAATCAAACCGGGACATTTTCAAATCTGACACGGAAAGCTCTGCTCGTTCAAAAGCGAGTAGCTCATCGCAACTCTCCTGGGAGCGTAGTACTCCGCGAGATACAGTGCCGGGGATAACTAGCAAGAGTTCAGAGCGTTCACTGGCAAAGACTACGAGTATTTCTTCTGAGAAGAGCAATCCTGTTCACGAGGTACCATCAGTATTGGGCACGAAATCTTCCAATGTTACAAATACAGGCTTCAAAGCCCGGATGAGTAGGGTTCTACACGGCTCGCGATCCTCCGCGGCATCGAAAGAATCGACCATCAGCGATACACCCAGAGTCGTCACCTCGACCGGGTCTTCCACCGTTGGCAAGGTGCTTTCTCGGACCACGTCTCCAGTTGTGGTTGAACAGTTACCGGTTGCCTCACAGTCGTTCGATGAGATCATAGACTATTCGTTTGAAACCATTACCATTCCGCAGAGATCAAAGACAGTTTCCAGTGCTCCTCTATCTAGCACTGCGGGCATCGACTCTGGCCTCAAAGAACATAAGTCGGCCTTTACACATTATAGGCAACATGCGGCTAGCAAAAGCACCCGGAGCAGTATCTCGAAGATGACAGAACACAAGCCAGCCTTTACACATTACAGACAAAAGGCGGCTAGGAAATCACTCCAAGATTCGTCGTCATCTAAGACACTTCCCAGCGCACCTGTGTCCAGCAGCAAGGACAGCACCGTTACGCCGAGAGAACACAAGCCGGCCTTTACACCTTACAGAAAAAAGCCGGCTAGCAAACCACTTCGAGATTCGCCGTCACTCGCCAAATCCCAACTCTTACGCTGGAATGACTTTCGACGAGCGATTGATGATAAATACGTTACGCAGCAAGCAAATCAAAAGCCGACCAAGTCGTCCTACTACAGTAGCCCGATCACTATGGTGGATATCATGGTGGGATATGTGCCATCCATTCTCTTCGCCGTATGTGACCATCTGTATAAGGATGACCCAGACATTCAGGAAATGGTAGCATTTATGGTGCGCAATGCATACATGTTTGTCGTTGGATATCTCGCCTACGCGGAATTTCGCTTGCCAACATTGCCATACTCCAAACCTGTAGCATACGCACGCAGCATCGGCACCGTATCCTACAACGTGTGGCAGAAAGCAGTAGCCAGCTTCCTGGGAAAGCAGCAAGCCGATCACTTCATCATAGACCGGGCGTTATACGCCACCCTCGTCGGTATCGCGATTTATTTCCTCCTTTTCGCCGGACGAAGGACCCGCGAAGTTGTTCACCACAAAGAAGATGAAAGCGATTTAAGCGAGGATGAAGACATGTCTGAGACCCAGGATCTGTCCGCCAGCGCGCCTGCTGTCATCCCGCACCGGAAAGAGACATTAATTCGTTGTTGCATCGCCTTCACTGTTATGATAACTGTCATTTGGCTCAGTGTCTACGTCCAGGACTTGGCTGTTATCTTGGCCAGTGTGCCAGCGGTACACGTTCTTTCAATCTATGACGAAGAGGCGCGCAACACCATCTTCACCATATTGAACCTCGTGGTCGGCGGCTCATACCGATCGGTCATCGCCGCGCGAACCTGGATACGATACTACGCTGCGGTTGCAGTAGTAGTATACGTCCTCATCCATATAGACCAGCCATCTTTGTGCGCTGATAGACTTATCAGAGGCGGCGTTGCCCCACCCTTCAGTCATTTTGCTGTCGTGCTCAAGCTTGTGGGCCTCTCCTATGTCGACTCCCTCGTGCACGGCATCATCGAAGTCTCTCGAATTTGCATAGCGAAACTCCGGGTTGTGAAGGCTTGGGTTCGGTACAAGTTTATGCTCATCGTCAGAGGTCGCGCTATCTTCCTGTGGCACCCAAAGACTGTCGGCGAATGTCTCCGCTGGGTGCTCGCGACAATATTACTCGGTCCCCGGACAGTATATGGGTTGCTACCAGTATGGGTTGGCCCAGTCGTTGGGTTGTTCGCGCTCTGGGCATTAACGTATGCATTCATACCATTGTTCCAGTCTCTTTTCACGGCGATCTGGCACACCATACAGCCTTGGATTGAAAGGACGTCCGATGCAGCTGCTCATCCAATGAAGGAGTTTACTACTAGCACTGCGTCGATTCCAGCCCCAGTTAAGGGGTCGACTTCATGGACTGCTGTAACCACGACAGCTTTACGGAATTGGGTCACGCCTTCTCGCAAACTCACTACAACTTCGCGGGAACGCGCAACGAGCTCTTATGTGTACACTGCTACCCCAACGAAAAGGGTTACGAGCTCTCGTATACCCACTACCCTCTCGCCGGCATGGGCTACCAAGTCCGTTAGGAATGCTACCTCCAGTTTCATCACAAACACCCAGAAAACGACTTTTTCAGCATTCGGAAGGATCTCGATGAACCTGAGCTTATTCTACAGGGCACAGATCCAGCCGGTCGTATCTGCCGTGGGTACACGCTGCCTCAGCAATTGGTGCCAAGGCCTAGCTTACCACTGGGTATGGCGCGCGACGATCATCATCGCGCTCACCAGTGTATGTACTGTAGGCTGGATCATGGCCGCTCAAGCATATCCCGCACATAAGGTCCGGTCCTCATTTACATTCGCAACTAGTTTCATGATGATGTACGTCCTAGGCACGAATGGGGTTCTGGCATGCACCCAGGACTATGGCATTATCTTTGCGACTGTCCTTGTCATACTTCTACTTCTAGCCCACTGGCGGCCGGCTCCGATCGTGGCCCGAGATTCTCCCAATGAACTGCTCCCTAATCGGCCGGATGAAGTTATGGTTCCTGGCTCTGCGCCACCAAGCCCTCCCGCAGCACAAATCCCCGCCCCTACCAGTGGCGTCGAAGATCCAGAGCAAGTAGACCCCCAAAGTGGAGAGCCTGATACTCCCAATCAGCCACCAGACGCACAGCCGGCGCAGGCACCTCAGCCACCCAGCAATAGTCAGGCAGTTGATCTTCAGGATGAGGACCTATCAGGGCTGCCAGACGAAGTAGACGCGTTGCCCACTCAACAACAGGCTTCGCCTGTACAGACTCCCGTGGGAACGCCAGCACGGGAGCAATCGATTGAGACTCCGGATCAGGCTGAGGCTCATACTGAGACGCCCACCGCAGATGCATGGACACAGACAAACGCATCTCTTCCTTGGCTACAGCGCTGTATGACTTGGCTCTTCGACAGTGAGGCGGCGCGCACAGCAAGAGAAAATGCTATTGAGGCAGCTAGGGCTGCTGCTGAGCAGGAGCATAAGGACTTCCTAGAGCAATCTGGTCTGGCGAGCGGTGCAGAACACGAGGAGCCACAATCGTCAAACGACGCCAGCGAAAGTCCAGCTGCTGATTCTTCGATGATATCTCAGCCTACAGAGACTGAGCAACAGCACCGGGCTACTGTTGAAGCTGAGAAACCTGAGGAAGCAATGGCAGCTATCCCATCAGAGACGACAACTGAAGCTATTCCAGACCCTGCGGCTCAGCTGCCAGTGACATCGGTGGGTGCTGATACATCGGCATCTTTGCGTACCCTCACTCCAGCCGCCACGTTCAAACATACTCCTCTGTTCGAGCCTACTCCTCTGACAACGACCACTCCCTCTACCATCGCTACTCCTGCGATACCAGCCATTTCCTCCAATTCTCTGGTTGTACCTACTCCCGTCATTACGCCTACCGATGTACCAAAGTCTGCCACATACACTACTGAGCCTTCGTCATCGCTTGACATCACGTTCGATCTTCCTACCATCGTAGTCAACGCACCAGAACCTGAGACGCAAGATGGATACACGCCCATGACATTTGTTCCCATTGAGATGATGGAACTCGCTACACCCGCCAAGCACACGCCTCCCAAGGACCCTGCTTCAGAATCTGTCAATGCACCAGATCACCAAGCTCTAGCCGCTGGTCTAGTGCAAGGTCAGGGAGAGGACGATGGGCAAGACGATGGGCAAGATGGTGTGCAAGAAAGCGACGAAGAGGAAGACGAGGTCGAAGGCGAAGAAGAGTTCGATTTCGGTGGGAGTCCCACGATAGGCACATCAGCTCCGCTACAGCCAGCGAGTCCTATAGATGCCGAGATTGCTGCAGCACTTGAGAGGCAACGCGAGGAGGTGCGAAGAGAGGCTGAGCAGAAGAAGGTCTTGACTCCTATGGAGGTTGCTTCTGGTGGAGCACCAGCGCCTGGTGACGGTGATGACGACGAAAATGGCAACCATGATGGAGAAGGTGACGACTCTTCACACAATACGCCGATATCTGGTGCCCCGAAGCATGCCACTCCTGAACCCGGCAATGAACCTTCTTCGCCAACGGATATGCCAATGAGAGGCACGAACGACGACCCTCCAGCAGCTACGCCCACGACCAGTGTCAATGAAACTGTCCCCGACTTACTCTCGCAACCAGCTCCCGGCACGGCAAATAGTCGTCCTTGGGCCCCTTTCAGCTCGCTTCCTTCCAGCAGGACTGAGCCGCCTATGTTCACAGAAGAGGAACTTAAGACGCAATTCGCCCTTCCTGCCATCTACAATCGGCCTGCCGCTCGGCCCACAGACCCTGCGCATCCAGACTCCGCAGAACAGTGGCGTAACAGGCTGCTGGGAGGCCCTAGTACGTTGACCATTATGAGGCGAGAACGTGAAGCTGCGGCTCGAAGGGCTGGTGGGGATGGTGGAGATGCGCCGCCTGGCCCTGGTGGTTCTTCTGGTGGAAACGGCGGCGGCGGTAGTGGGGGTGGAGGTGGCAGTGATGATCCCCCCTCTCCTTTCGATCCATCGCGCGGTAGTGGAGGCGCGAACCCTCCATCGCCGTCGGGTTCAGCTGGCTCAGGACCTATGGAGGGGATCGACGAGGCTTCTTCGAGCGACGAGGGGCAGAACGGTGAGAGCGATCCCCATAGTCATAACAATGATGACAGTCAGACTTTGAACAACCAAGCTGACACCAACGATCAGATGGATAATGGCGACGACGGTAATGAGGGTGGTGGCGACAATAATGGCGATTCATCCGCACAGCCTGGAGCTTCCAACGATGCTGGCATTCCCATGACTACTACGCCCGCGGCCTTTGATACTACTGCCACGCCTGACGACGATGGAGATGTCGATATGTCCGATCTATTCAATGTCGATATGTCCGATACCGATTTGGACGATATCAATATGGACAACATCAATCTGGATAACATCAACTTGGACGGCATCGATTTCGACAAGATCGCCAACTCTGGCTTCAACAATGAGCAAACGCCAACCACCACCACCGATGGCATGAGGAGACAGCTGGTGCCTCTCGAGGGACTAGAACAAAACAGCGAAATGCCAACAAGTCTGTATCTGTCTCCCGAGGACGAGCAATACGGTGAAATGGCAGAACAAAACATATTCGCTGATATTGACGCGTATGAGGCGCAGAATGGGCCTATCGAGAATCCACCTCCCATGTTTGAGCCTCAGCAGTATCCGACAGACGGGGAAAGCTTCGATCATCTTCTCGGAAACGGCGGCGATGATTGTCCTTTACCGAACCAGCAGCCATCGGTCATTGTTCCTGGGCCTCTTAAGGATGCGCCAGATGCGTTTGACCCATTCTCGAACGCGAACTGGAGTGCCGAATTTGGGGATGCTACGCAAACTGAACAGGGTGACGATGTGTCAGATCAAGAGATCGTTCGTGCCGCCGTTGCAAAGGCATTTGGAGAAGATCAGGGGCCGGCACGAGATGGTCTAACTCCACCACCATCAACACACGGAGACGACATTGATCTCGAAGACTACGGAGTTGCTGAAGACAATGAGGAACTCATCGCTGGGCTTTCGAATGTCGATCTTAGCGTTGACCAGACCGACAACAATGACAAAGCACGAGTCTCGCCAGATTCAGGAACTCAACGAGTATGGGACAGTGACTTCAACAAAGCTCCGGACAACGCTGAACATGAATACAAACACCCAGTTGAGTTCACGACTATCAGACCGAGAACACGCTGTGTACAACTTCGGGAGGACCACAGGATCGTAGAGAATCCCGAACATGCGGAAAATCGATCAGCCGGCATGGAGTCGCTAGACGAACTCACCGGGCGCCAAGGTCAAGTCTTCCGGGAAGTTCCCATGGACACGTACGAAATGCGAGGAGAAAGTCACGACGACTACAAAGATGCACAAGAGCTGATGGCATGGTTTGACCCAGATGCTGGAGGTGCTGAACCTCGAGGTGATCCCTTGCCAGCTGGTTCTGACGATGGTAGCGCGTTGTCGGACGAAATCGATGACGATGAACTGGACAAGCTTGCCAAAGAAGTGGAAAAGGATCAGTTGGATGAACTGAATAAAGCGTCCAAGAGAACACGAGACCTTTCTGATGACTCAGATTTAGAAGCATCGGAAAAGATTCCAGATGATCCAGCAACTCCCCAGAAGGAGAGTTCAGGTGCACGAGCTGGTACTCCGAAGAAGGGCCGCTTCAGAGGTCCAGTCTCATTTGATACTGAGGAAGAAGCTCGTTTTGAGAAGAACGATGTGGAAAAGATCAAAGACCTTCCAATATGGCAGAAGCTGAAGGAGGCCAAAAACACATCGACGAGTCCACCGCCGGCGCAACCATCTCCAGTCGCTAATCCTGGTCTTCCGCCTCGCCCGACTACACAAAGTACACTTAGCGCGCCGTCGATGTCAAGCTCGAATTTTATTTCCCCATTTTCGTATGACAGACCGCCGCCGCCTTCACCTCTAGCAGGTGGTTTCGCACCGGGAGGTTACGCACGCTCGTATAACCCAGTCACTTTGCACGAGAGGAAGAGCACGTCTCCTTATGCAGGTATACCGACTCTCGGCAGCCTTAGTACACCACGCGGTCAAAGTGGTAATGCAACACCGTCTCCTCGGAGTTCAAGCTACCCAGCCATGAAGCTGCCCGACGCTGCACTATCGAACGCAAGAAGCTTGCTCAAGCCGGCATCCGCCCGCCATCGTGCACAACCTACAGCAGGTACAGCGACTACAGATTCCCCGGTCGCCTCGCCCGCGTCCAGGCCCATGCAGTCTTCGGCGGGCATGAAATCAAGCAATTTACCGACTACTCCGCCAGCTTACGACCCGACACAGCCTGCGGCGGGATACACCCCGAAATCAGCGTCAGACTTCCGGGCCCAGTTACTACCCTTGTCTGGATTGAGTGTACCACAGAAGCCATTACCACAGCTCAGTGCGATAACACATCCGGGTAGGCCCGCAGCGCAAGATGAAGATGCGGCTGGAGACCAGACCTCGCAAACTCCTGGAGGCGATGACAAAAACGATTACGATAGCGATGTTGACAGCATTTACGGTCACGACAAAGAGAAACCTCAGCAATCCTATCAGCGACAACAATCGGGCAATGCTGCGCAAACGAGTGCCCCAGCTCCTGGAACTCCCACTGTAACTGTGATAACGAGCCTGTCGTTGACGACGAAGACGCCAATATGGGCGGTTGTAGCCCGCCTATAGCCAAGGATAGCCCGTCGTCGTGAAATCTCCATGGGGTGCGCAATTGATGTGGCGTTCAAGCCACAGAACAGAAGTGCAGTCCTCAACGCCATATCTGCGTCGTACCCGGTGACCAAATGGACCCACTCTAGCGACCCACGCCTATTCCAGCACCAAACTGAAGAGCGTCGGCCAGGTTTCTACACCTCCGTCTTTACATCATGGGTTTTCGGACCAACTATTGGTTAGGGCAATTAGCGATGTATTGAGCGGGTATACCATGAAGTCTAGTTTTAGGTGCAACCGCTGGTGGAGTCTCAGGGTATAGACTGGAGAGGGTGTCTGGTACGTGTTTGATAAGACGCGCCAGCCAACACACGTTGATTCAGAGCCTGTGGAGTTTCCCAAACGTTGTTTGATGTTGTTGAGGATCAGAAAATTGTGTTTCGGACGGCAAAAGAGTGAACAGCGAGAGTCATTACGGAAGAGAGGTGTGAGACCATATTCTTAGTAACTCGAGACCAGTCAAACGTGCTGTCTTTCTCAGCTTATCAATTTCTGTTCGCATAGCTATCATCTTCCAAACCCCTGCGCTACTGTAAAGGCGGCTATGTTTGCGTCTTATCTGCCTGTGCTGGTAATGTGTTGGCTGGTTGTAAAATCATGGCTCAGCCCCACAGTTCCACCATGCCATCCCTGACATTCGTCGGAACTTCTCAACCGACCGCGGCTTTGCGCATCACATGCCGATATTCATATTTTTGCCAATGTTGCTATACCGTTGTTCTGCTCCAAAAACTCATGTGGTACTGGGGGAATTTGCTGTTGAGACGGAGAGACCCGCCTCATCTACCACCTTCCACCACGGCGCCCTCTACGAATCGACTACGTACGACCGGGTCTTTGATGCTTGCGGTATCTCCTCTGCGGAGGACCTTGGTATATGGCATGTCATGTGTTGCAGATATTGGAAATGGCCCGCTGCTCGCTCTGCGTTATCGCAGCACGGGTGGATGACCTGGATGCTGGTTAAAGGATGGTATTGCACACCAATGTGGACTAACTGGCAAAAATGTATATGGCTCTCACCGCAGATCCGTCTATATCTGAAGAGAACAACCCAACATCCACACCACAAGTCACCAAGATGAAGTTCACATTCGCCCTCATCGCTCTCTTCACCACCGCAACCCTCGCCGCCCCTCCCCTGTACGACGTCCCTACCTCAAGCGGTGCCATGCCCAGAGGCTCCCTAAAAGGTCTTCCACCACCCAGCACTTGCTTCTGGTGCGGTGTCAGATATATGGAATGCATGGACGTACGTCCCTTCTCCTCCCCCCATTAACTTTTCCACACGCTTGTAGATCGCTAACCCAACCCCCGACAGAAATACGTAGACAGCTACAACTACTACTTGGACAGGCCAACCAATATCACTCAGTTCTACGAGAGTCAGTGGAAATGCGTGGATTTGATGGAGAATCATTATGGTCCGTGTGTTCGGCGTCAGTGTAAGGTGACTTTTGGGAAATTCGGGGAGCCGCATTGGCATCATCATGCGTAGGGGCGTAGGATGGCTGGTATGAGAACGAAAGGCTATCGGGTATCTATTTGCGAATTGCTCTGGATGTTTTAGGGGGCACTGCAGATGTGGAACGATTGGGTTTGGCAGGATGCACAATAACCCAAAGGGATCATCTCTCCCGCGATTAGATCTCGATGATTAGACGCATTGTTGTCATCATCCATCAACAAAGATATCCCCACTAGATTGCAATCTACAATGGTACTAAACGCTGATCCACTTCGTTGTCACAAGAGCAGCGTCCCTGTGATACAAATGGGGTCCTCGAACGCGAAACTCTGGCACCAAGTTAACCAGCAAACGAGGTGAACAACGACCAGCATAGTGTTGAGAAGAGACTCCTAGTTTCGCTCCACACCGATGATGTATTCTCCACGGCGAGTTCTTGTTGAGCACCAATGACGCTAACACTACGTGTGAGTGCCAATAGGGAGACTTCAGCATGTTCGCCTAGAGACACAGCATATAAAATGCGCGCATACTCACAAATCTAATTTTCGTCTCCCCTTCCTTCAACCCAACACCAACACTACCACCCGGCCCATCTTCAAACCCCCCACAAGGCCGATCTACCACATCTGTGTCAACATGAAGATCACCACCCTCATCATCGCAGCACTCAGCACCGCCGCTCTCGCCTCAGAAAGCCAATTCGAATTCTCGCACTCGTGTAACACCTGCTTTCAGATGTGGAATGAATGCATGGCCGTAAGTCCTCCAGTTCCAACACAAACTTACCCAGTTGCTGACATGTCTTATAGGACAAATGCCCTTCGTTCGAACTCAACGAGGAGTGCTCGTTCCAGTGCCAAACTTGGCTGTGCAATTCAGGCACAATTGGCGAATGGTGTGAAATCTGGTGTGGCAACTACTACTTCTTGAACTGTCATGGATGGAGTGAGAAACCCAAGTTCCCACCACCCGACCTGCGCATTCATGGGCCATGATCGTCCAACCATTACGGGAGATTGAGACCATGTCGACGGGGGGGAGCGGATACCGGAATGGGGCGAAGTACTTTGGAAATGCTTTGCGCTGACAGTCTCATGGTATATGGAAGTGCTAGACTGGTTGCGACGACGATGCGCATTCATGGCTGGTCAAGCAGAATACATGAGACTTTGGATACGTTGCACGGAGCAAATGACATTCCTGAATTAGGAGATGTTTCATTATTGCTCTCTCCATCGGCTTGTAGGGTAATAATACTGCTTTTCTCCAATCAAGAAGCTCTTGCTATCCATGGACGAAACCGCCACTATCCGGGAACTCAGAGATTCCGTTACTAACAACGCATTTGCCAATACCTATGACCTATCTCAGGTGAGAGAGATTGGCAGGGCACAGACCTTTAACTCTCGGCTTCGCAGCAACTCCAGCAGCTGCGAAGTAGCTGCCGCTCCCTCACCGCGCGTTATCTAGGTATCTCTCACTCACCGCGGGTCGCCGCTCCCTCACCGCGAGTTACGCAGCTGCCCATCTACCATACCTAGAGCTCCGCTTCTCCCTGCTCTCCCCACGGGTATATAATCCCGCCCATCCTCCCTCTCTCCTCTTCTCTCCTCCACCAACGATCAAACACTCAAAACACTCAACGTCTACCTCACCACAAAACAAACTCCATCAACCACAACAACTCCATCAACATCTACCCACTCGCAAGCATGAAGCTCTCCATCCTCATTCTGGCAGCTGCCTCCGCCCTCGTCCTCGCCGGCCCCGAGAAGAAGGAAGACTCCGTTCTGTGCAAGAAGTGCTACATCTACAGCCTTGAACACTGCGAGAAGGTAAGTTGTCGCAGCCCCGAGCCCGTATTCTTTGGTGCTCAGCCCAGAAACTAACTTCAATAGGACGTCTGCAAGGACAAACTTGACGACCGCGGGCACAAATTCTTTGGATGGTATAAGTGCATGAGCGACTGTGACCGCAACGACACCTGCAAGTACGTACCTGCAGGCGAGACAGTTGCTTGCGGCGATGAGTGCACCCATCATGCTTCTTGCTCCCTTCCCGAACCCAATTAGGATATCTATCTCGGGTATCACGGCAGTGGATGAACATCAGTGAGGCATGCAAGGCAACGGGTAGCATGGAGGCTGGGATGAGAATTTGTCTTGGCTGAATGCCTGTCATCATTGCGAATATGGGAAACTGATCATGGACGGGACTTGGTGGCATGATACATCCTTGGTAAATTTACCTAAAGATGAATGTCAACTACACACTTACACATACTGAACTTTTGCATGTGAATGTGAATGTATCTGAGCAAAAGTGACGCGTCTATAACGTCCTCTCCTCGCCTGAAACCACCTTTCTGACGTCTGTCCACTGTGAGGACCTCGGCAGGGTTCAGATAAGCGCAACTAATCCATAGCTTTCTTCCCTTAATCCAACCTCCCGCTTGTCTGCGTTCGACGCTGGTGGCCATGCCTTCCGATACACTCAAAGCTATGTCGCCGATAGTCGAAAGTGAAGGCATTCATTGTTACCGTGGTCAGCTGACGTGACCCACATGCAACTGGAAGTCCAGACCCGATGCTAATGGAACGCATCGAGAGTGAGGAAACGAGGAACAGCTGACTTCGAGTTGTAGAATGCCCACGAGCTCGGGTGGGTCGTAATGAGGCGAGTGAATGACAAAAGGTACAAACAGACCCGGCAATGAGTGTGTTGTGGTGTTTTCTCTTGTAATAATAAAATCGCCACCGACTCTCATGTTGTTTTTAATGATGTATTCAGCCGTCCAGTAGTAAGCTGCATAGTGAACTTCTGAGTTGTTGCGTTCATCTACATGTTACGTCATTCTTGCATGTAGCCGTCCTTACGTGTAATTTCTTTTCCCTTACATGTAGTAATCCTTACATGTAGTTATGCATTCTTGAGTTCAACCTTGCATGTTGTTGGAATATGCGGTTGCAATATGCGCTCATGCTTAACACAAGCATTAACGCCCTTGACATAAACGTGCTTCAACCGCGTGAAATGGCTCGCCCATGCGCCAATTCCACAACACCTCTCCCCACTCTAGTCCGTATCAACATCTACATTCTTTCATTACCATGTCGGTACATCGCTACCTAGAACATCACCCAAGATGCATATAAACCCACGATGCGCTGCCCCAAGAACATCCCTCTCTCCATCCGCCATCGACACAATCTCCTCAACCACACACCCAATTACACACCAAACCAAACCACACCCACTCCACCAAACATGAAGTACACCACCCCCCTCCTCCTCTTCATCGCGGCCCTCACCACCGCCAACCCCGTCACCTCCCCCTCCGCCAACGCCATCACCTCGGCCAACCCGCTCGTCGCCCGTGACCCCATCTGCGACAAGTGCAACAAGGAGTTCGAGGACTGCCAGAAGGTAATACCCCCCTTTTCCCATCTCTTCCAGTGTGACTTGAACTAATCATTGTGTGTGTGGAACTAGACTTGGGTCTGTTGGATCAACCCGAGGATGTGTATCATTACTTGCCACAACGACGTTTGTCGTAATGACGCTGCGTGCAGGGAGCACTGTGGGTGGAAGTGCCCTTAGACTGGGGTTTGTGGGTGCGAGAGGGCATTGGAGATTGGAGAGACGGTGGGATTGAGGGATTGAGGGAGGAATGAGACTAAGGCTGGTTGGCAAGGATGGAGTCTGAGGGAGCGGGTTGAGGTGGAGAGCGATGCTTATATGTTGTTGTTGGAATATGTACGCATCCTTACTTTCTACAATTACCAATGCCCCTGACATAAAGTCGCGCGAAAGCGCTCACCAACCGTGTACCAATCTCACACCCTTACCCCACTGATCGTATCAAGCCTCCCATTCTTTCACTACCAACATTCGTATGCCGCCACGCAGATCAGTACCCCAGGTGATCCATGGAGGTGATTCAACCCCTCCGGCTACCTAACCTGACCCTCCAGCCCTGCGTATATATAACCCCCCAATCCGCTGCTCCAAGAAAGCCCCCTTCTCCCCATCCACCCTCAACTCAATCCCCTCAACCCCACACCACCCCCCACCCACCTCACCAACAATGCATTTCACAACCCCCCTCCTCCTCGCCCTCGCGGCCCTCACAACAGCCACCCCCCTCACCAACCCCGACGCCAGCCCCATCGCCGTCCCCATCGCCTCTCCCCAAGAGACCGGCCCGCCCGTCCAAGTTCCCACCTGCGACCAGTGCAAAGACAACTTCGAGCACTGCCTTCGTGTAAGTTCGATTCCCCATCCCCAATCCCCACAATTCCCCGAGAAGCATTGAACTAACTCGGGTGATTGATGATTAGTCTTGGCCCTGCTGGTTCAACCCAGCTACCTGCGATACGACTTGCCGCGCTGATACTTGCAAGGCGAGCAACTACTTCTGCCGGGACAACTGTGGGTGGAAGTGTCCTTAGGCTGGGGTTTGAGTATGCGAGTCTTCGATTCCACTGGGAAGAGGCTACTCTTGAGGTGGAATTGGGACTGTGGTTGTGAGGCAAAGGTTTAGTCTGAGATGGTGGTCCGTGATGGGCGACGCATGGCGATGGTGTAATCTTTGTGATATGGGTATGGTTCAGATCTTGGTCTTGATAAAAGGATAGCTGCTACAGCTGGTAGATCAGTATCGAGGAATAACACCAAGTCTTGTCAGTGAAATGAAACCATTAAGTGATAGTCTGTGCCAAGCCCTATAACGAAATCCTACCATAAACATCGGTCGGCTTATACCTGTCGCACTGCCCAGAGCCAAACATACTCGTAAAATCACTCATGAATATCGAGCTCGAACCCAGAGGACGTCGAAGCAAAAACAGTCTCAGTCGTCGCATGTACCCAACGCAGATCACCCTAGCCAAGCCCAAGCCTCAAGACCGAATACGAAGATTGACCTGCAGCGCCAAGAAAGCTAGGCTTCTCGCGGCCCGCAGATGATCACCAGCTAAACCGCATACCCCCATGGGTGTTGTCTCCGTCCGCCTTGGAATCTCTTGAAAGCTGTACACGCCCGTCTTGGCTGCTAATATGAATTGGCGGGTTGCGCTCCTCGTGGGCGGGTGATGTAGTGTCCAAGACTTGTCTAGTTGTATAAGTAGAGTTTTTGGTGCATTTGACCCGCTGGTGATGTCAATTGGGAGGGTGGAGGAGTGGTATTTAGGGTGCTTGTTTCCCATGTTGTGATGCATTCGTGTCCCATCTCTTGTACATTCATCGTCATTATGAGGCTCACTTTCGCAACTCTCTCCACGCTCCTGACGACCGCTACGACAGCATCGCCTCTTGCTCTCGAACCGCGTCAACAATGCAGTACATCCTGGAGCTACCCGTATACCGGCAGCGTAGCTCCCAGCAACTACAAGGCCTTTAACCTCGGTAGCTGCACTGCACAACTCACCTTCAACAAAGACCGATACGTAGGAGTGCAATGGGCATTCGAAGCCACGTACGCGGACGGCAGTCGTGCCGAACTCAAGCCCTTCCGCGACTTCGACAGCTTTGGCGTCAGCGATACCTTCTACCCCTACCTTGGCAACAACTTCCTCACTAAGTACCCTGGAAACTCTGCGTTCACGGCTGTGCATGAGTTCAGCAATGTTTGCAAGAACGGACAGGCGCCTGTCTCATGGCGGTTCTACACCACTTCAGGAACGTCGAATGGATGCTACACAACGGGGCAGATACGCGCTGTCGGTGGTCTTTCGCGTCCAGCCAAGGTTGCAGGCGTATCTCTGCGAAGGAGCAATGATGCCGGAGACTTCCAGGTCAGCTGGTCGCCGGTATCCAGCGCGACTGCGTATTCCGTCATTGTGGAGTACCCGACTGGTACGGATGAAGTTGGCAACCCCTACACGAACGTGAGGGGTGCACGCGTACAGGTGAGTCCGTCAATCGTCTTCGAAGGGCGATACTAATAGTCATGCCAGGGAACCTCGACTCAGATTGCGACTACGACGCGTAGACAGGATGTAGCGAGGAAGGCGATTGTTCACGCTGTCAACTCCCAGGGCGTGTGGTCGTTCACGAGCGATGTGCAGCCAGTGGTAGCAAACTGGTAGACGCTGTTGTGGGATATATTGTCAGATATGAGATGATTTTAGATACGAGCCACAGGGAGTCAGCGAGTCTTGCGTCGCAAATGTATCTCGTCTCGTCCAGGAATCGCGTGCGGAAAACATTGCCCGATCAGTCGACAAGATCCCTGCTTCAGCCACGAACAATTGTAAGGCTGTTATCGCGTTCAATATAAGTCGTGAAAACAAGACGATAGAATTTTACAGTACATCAGCAAGAGTACAAAGTGCGGTGAATCCAATCAAAGTGTGTTGACACGTGAAACGGCGGCCGACGGCACTGCCACATGGCAAGCGCGCCCGCTCCGGAAGAGCCGAGGCCAAAGCGCCAGGGTCGCGCGACAACGAATGCCATCTCCACACGGCTCCGCATTGTCATCGCATCATGCACGCCGTCCGCCATCCATTGCGCCGTTCTACTTTACCTAGTCTTTTGCTCCTGCCTGGCTGAATACCTTGTGCCTGCTCTTGAGGCACTCTCACGCACCGCCACACCAATCAATGCGCCGCTCCCCGTTTATGGGGGCGCGATATCCACGCTCGTAATGTCGGACTCGGTTGGTAGGTTTATCTGGGGTGGAATGGGATAGAAGGAGCTTTTGCTAATAGAGGTGAATATAGATCGAGTCTTTAGCCATGCGCTCAACACCGTCAACAAGATACGGACGGGGTCGCAGAAACCGCCGTCTGCGACCAGGTTACGCTTGTATGGGCTGTATAAGCAGGCCATGGGTACGTTGCCTCGAGGGAAATGATGCGGAGGGGGACTGTGCTACGACCAGAGCTGACCAAAACAGAGGGCGATGTCGACGGTATAATGGAATGTCCACGAGGGAATGATGACCAGTCGCAACGAGCACGGGAGAAATGGTATGTCACTTGGCGCATAGCACCATCCAAGTCCCCATCATGGAACGCATACATGACAGGACCTAACATCCCCAGGGACGCTTGGAAACAGCAGAACGGCCTCTCCCGCACCGAAGCCAAACGCCGCTACATCACCACCCTCATCGACACCATGCACAAGTACGCCTCGCCCTCACCCGACTCCCGAGAACTAGTCGCCGAGCTAGAATTCGTCTGGGACCAAGTCAAATCCAACGTGCCGTCCTCCTCCTCCTCCTCGCCGCTACGTACCTCCGACCACATAACCCCCGGCTACTCCCAGCACGAACTCGGCCAGAGCGGCCGCGCAGCCATGAACAGCAGCAACGAAATGGACGGCCCTCGAGACGAACCTGAACGCCGCGCCGTGCCCCTCCGCGTAAAATCACCAATGTCGCAATCCGAAGAAGAGCTCGAGGAAGAAGAAGCGGAAATCGAGCGTGAAGGCGAGGTCTTCGTCGACGCCCCAGACAGCCAATATAACCCCACATCCTACCCCGACGACGACGACAACGCCCCCGACCTCGAAGACGCAGGCGTACAAACCGATTTACAGCAGTTGATCCGCGCAGAACCAATACCTATACAGACGCCCACTCCCGCGCCACGGAATCGCGGCATGGGTGTGTTGGGCAAACCGATTCAGATGCCTATACCCGGTTTCGGCAGCACACCTGCCCCCGCTGTTGGAAACGGTGCCGCAGCAGCAGCGAAAGACAGCTCCCCGAAAGAATCAGTCGCAGACCAGAAATGGCGGAAACGCGTTGAGCAATCGCTCATGAAGATGACGGCGGAAGTCGCGGCACTACGCGAACAATTAGAAGCAAGAAGGCTGTTTGCACATTCAGTGCACTATCAGCTCTTTCGGGGCGTGTGGAGATGGGTGTGGGCGTGCTTCAAGCATGTTGCTGTTGATGTGTTTATATTGGGTATAGTGCTGTTGTGGATGCGGCGGAAGAAGGATAAGAGGCTGGAAGGGGCGATACGGGTGCTGCTGGGGGATGCGGTGGCGCAGATGCAGAGGGGTGGGGGGATGGTGTTTGGAAGGGTTAGGTTACCGCTTTTAGGAGGGGGGAAGAAAGGGGGGACGGGGACGGGGACGGGGACGTGAATTTAAGATGTTATGATATCAGGTGTTGTGCTGACTGTGGATTCGTTGCGTGTGGTTGATGGAATTTACTGCTGACGGTTCAGATACAGGGCCAACACTCTGCGACCTTGCAAAACAAGAATCGCTCTATCGTGTTTAATCCATCTCGCCGATCCCGCCTTTCTCCGTTCCACCCTCCCATTTCTCAATCATCTCAGGGAAACACTGCTTCAGTAGCACCTCCCCATACCCCTCAAACACCGCCTCAACCTCCTTCAAAACCTCCACAACACCCCCCTCCCCCTTCATCACACCAACAGATCCCAGTTTCACGCCATCGACCTGTGGCACGCGCGGCGCAGCAACGATAGCAAGGTTACTAATCGTACCAAGGAACATGATAAGCAGCATAACAATCGCTGCGTCATCTGAAAGCTGGGTGTAGAGCAAGGCTTGGCTCAAGAAAGCGCCGGCGATGAGGATGATGGGTGCCACACAGGGGTTTGAGGCGTTGGTGGATGTGTCGTGATGTGTGGTCGTGCTTTCGGTCTTGGTGAATGCAGTTGAGGAGGGCTGGATGATGTAGATGTGGCTGGGTGGGGAGTCGGTGTCGCGCATGAGTGCGTACGCGCCTTTCTGACTGTGCCGGGTAAAGGAAGCGTTTTTCTGAGCAGTCCAGACGGGTAGGCTGGCGGTAGCTTCGATAAGCAAGATTGATATGCTGAGTAGGAGGAGGGGTGAGAGATCGGCGTAGTACAACCAGAATGCGCCAGCAAGACAGAATTGGAGGATTGCGGTGATTAAGCTACCACTCTGCAGTAGGTTTCTGGGGGAAGTGGAAGCGGAGAAGGGTATGCCAGTGGGCTGGAGGACCTCAACGACGACCTCGCTATCCTGGTCAAACTTGCCATCGACGCTGGGCGGAACAGAGCGAAACTCCAGATCTCGGAGCAGCCTCGCAACAGCAAACTCCTTATTCGACCGTCTCTTCCCCGTCTTCATGTCCAAAACCTGCACATCGCACTCCGGTTTGGGCATCAAACCACCACTGCCGGACGTGACTGACGACAAGAGTGACAAGCTATACGCCAGCCACCCGAAACCGAAACATGGAGACTCTGTCTTCGAAATTGCAGTCGTGACAGCAAACGCCTTTTGAATGAGCTCAGGGCCGAGTAGCGTGAGTACGATAGCTAAAGGCGGTATACGTCCGGAGTCGCCGTTGCGATGCTCGGATCCAGGGCCAGTGGGACTGAGGTAGTAGTTTGCGACGTAGTCACCGATGTAAGCGATGAGAATTAGGAACGACATCTTGATGTTGGAGGCACGGGTGTTGGTACTGGGGAGAGCTCTGATGGATGGGGAAGTGGCGGTGCACTTTTCGAGATCGATATTTGCCATGATTTTCTTTCGCGGCTGTCGGACTCTGCGAATGGTTGTGTACCAAGTGTAATCCTGGGACCCTTGGTGAGGAAAGAGCGGTGGTTGGTGCGGAAAGTTGGGTTGTGCGCTCGTTCGGGGATTATCTGTAGTTCGGAGAGCGACGGTGAATTGGTGAGAGTGAAGGCGTTCACCCAATGTCACCCGCGACGCTGTGAATGACTCTCCAGCACTCTTCAATCTGTCGCTGGAGGTATTTGAGTGAGAAGAGCTTTTGCGTCTTGTTGTGAGATCAACATGATGACCAGGGAATCGCGCGATCCAATCGGGGCAGGTGCGAGGCAGGTGCAAACGACAGAGAACGCACGTGCGTCAGTGACTGCCGGACGCCATCCATGGATTGGACGAGGCTCACTGTGACGCAGCGGATAATTGCAGCAAATGTTTTTGAACGATTTCAGTGTCGCACTGTCACACGTCGGTGCAAGTGTGATTGCGTTATATCGGCGCGGCCCTATGGACATGCTTCAGTCTCGTGAGTTTAGTGGTCGCTCGCACCAATGATAGACTCGTGAATGTATCCATCAACACTATTCAAAGTCTTCGTAGGCCAGCATGTTTGATATCCCTGTGGTGAGCCTCGACATCTAAAGGCCCCTACTGTGCGACCACCCAAATTTCGCGATCCCACCACCCCAACACGACCAAAGGTCGACATTGCCGTCAAAACCACTCTCAACGAATTTAAGTGCGCGGATTTTCGCCTGCCGCGTGCTACCTGGATCAATCTCCTTGACAGATTTACCCGTCCAGATGTTGCTAATCCGGATCACTGTACCTTCCGTTGTGTCTTGGGCTGCTGCTAGAAGTCCGAGTCTGGGGTATACATCGATGTCCAGTTCCAGCTCGTCTCTGTTCAGGTGGGCAAAAGTCATGACTGGCTGCGACCAATTCTTGAAAGCTTTGTGGTTGAGCTTGCGGCGTTTGTGACTATCGCGATGAGTGGGATATAGGCTTTTGAAGTATTCTTCGTTGTAGTGATGGTTGTCGTAATCGAACGTCTTTCGCGATGAGTTTCGAGATAAGCGGGGTGCGCGAATGTCGTATAGGAAAAGCGTGTCGTTGAGCCCCGAGCATATCAATCTAGTCTCATCGTCGGCACGCTTGAGCTTTGAGATGGGTGCTGGATGTGTCAAGACGTGACTTGAGCCCCCTGATCTTGTGTCGTATAGTCGGACGGTTCCGTCTCGACAGCCGAGCGCGACAGTAGTATACGATATCCACTCCAAGGCCAAAAGATCCGATTCAAGTGACTTTACTACAGCTTGAGAGTCCCACGCACCTCCCTGTGAGCGAGTGAATAGTAGCATCGAACTTGAGGCTGCAACTGCGAGGTGCTCGGTCCAGGTCGCTGCAACACTATTTGCAAGACCCGGTGATGCCGTGAACGTAGTTGGTCTGGCAGCAGCACCCCAGATAGCTGAACAGTCTTTCGGTGTAAATTTTTGCCCTACGTACTGTGTCACTATGGGTCAGCGTGAGAGTCTCGGAAAATGCAAAAGTCTTGGAAAGTGGTCAAAACGAGGTGGAAGTGAGCAGGACAGCTCGTTTTTCCTGAGTTATGCTACATGGCCGTTGGCTAACTCAAATCATCCGCTCTTTCGAACGTGAAACGAAACATAGCCGTTCATCATTGAGGAGATTATGTGCGTGGGGTTATGAGAATGTGATTGACTTACTGGATCATCGCGTCCCGGGTCGCTGAGCCACACTTCTGGCGGCCGATCCGACCCATATGTCGTTACCGCAAGCGCGCCGGTTGCCGGTAGAAAGGACAACGAGGAGACTGTAGATGTCGTTCGCGTTACCTCTTCTCGTGGATACCACGAATAGATACTCTTTAATGAAGACGACTTGGGTATGGAATAGTAGTCCTCTGATGGGACGCTGGGACTCCCGCGATCTGCAGTCTGCCTGTGCACACTGTTCTCACCTTGAACTGTGTATATCGTGTGATGTACTGGGTCTTTGGCAAAGAGCCGTAGTCCACATGGAGGTAGCACCTTTTCGGGACGTTGTTCAATACCGGCTGCGCATGCGTCAGGCCAAAGGCCGTGGACATAGCGTGACCGTCTTCTGAGACCTATTTCTCTATCGATGTTTGTCTGAGCGAAGCTGTTCGGGTTGCGTCTGACGACCCGCTCCTTCTTAAGCTTATTGGAACGCGCGAGTGCGACATTCTGGATGCGCTCTTTTCTTTCTGTCTTCTTGATGTTTGCTGAAGAGTATTTGAGATTTGATCCTTGGGCTGCAGTTTGGTTTTGGATCCTGAAGTATTTCTTCTTCTCTGCGTCCCAGAAGTAGCCGGGTATTGGCTGGCCGTTCATCCTGCGACCGTGATAGTGTGGAGGCCAGCGTTGGTCTCAAATATCAAGGAGTGAATGTATGCGTTGCTTGAGGAAGGATGTGCTGATTGGCGGAGATGTCGACGCGTCCGCGATTTAGTTCAGAAGAGAAACGCGCGAGTCAGGCACCGCGAGGTTCTGATGTTTTCACGACTGCCTTATCGATAAGCCCGCTCGTCCGAGGCATGACGCCACTGCCCCATAACGTTCACATCACACTGATCAGCATCGAATGCGCCCATATGTGCCGCCATCTTCCCCTCATTGGCCCTCCCTCCTACACCACTTGATACCCTTAGCAGCTCATGCTTCGAATCTCTACTGCGCTGCAGCCTACCAGGAAAGCGATATCGTCGACGAAATACATCTGCAAGAACCCCTTCCACACTTTTATGCGCCTCAATCAAGTCATGGCCCACCTCGACATCCCACAGACGGCGAGCAACTCGACCAATGAATTTCACACGCTGCAGTCACTTCCCAAATCGAATGTCTTCACATCCAACCTTCCCGCCGATGACGCCTTCCCTAGACCGAAAGACTCCCACGATGCGCCACGGCAAATGCTCGGACCGCGCATGGTCAAGGGAGCACTATACACATATGTTCGGCCTGACTCGCAGGGAGAGCCAGAGCTGTTAGCTGTCAGTCAGCGAGCGATGCAGGACATTGGTCTTAAGGAAGAGGAGGCCAAGACGGATGAATTCAAGGAAGTCGTGGCTGGAAAGAAGATCCTGACATGGGACGAGTCGAACCCGGAAGCTGGAATATACCCTTGGGCACAATGCTATGGAGGCTACCAGTTCGGACAATGGGCAGGCCAACTTGGTGATGGACGCGCCATCTCCTTGTTTGAGTCTACCAACCCAGCGACCGGCACACGATACGAGATCCAACTGAAGGGTGCTGGACGGACACCCTACTCCCGCTTCGCTGATGGCCGCGCAGTACTGCGATCTTCTATTCGAGAGTTCGTCGTCTCGGAATATCTCAATGCTATTGGCATCCCCAGTACAAGAGCGCTGGCGCTCACCCTGAACAATGGCAGCAAGGTCATGCGCGAACGCACAGAGCCTGGAGCCATCGTCACGCGGTTTGCGCAAAGCTGGATTCGCTTTGGCACATTCGACCTTCAACGCATCCGCGGAGACCGAAAGACCCTCCGCACAATCGCAGACTACACAGCCGAGCACGTCTACGGCGGCTGGGACAAGCTCCCCTCCAAGCTCCCCGCCGGCGAAGCCAAAGAAGTCCACTCCCAGACCCACACCGGCATCCCCAAAGAAACCGTCGAAGGCGAGAACGAAGGCGAAGAAAACCGCTACGTCCGCCTCTACCGCGCCATCCTCCGCCGCAACGCCGAAACCGTCGCAAAATGGCAAGCCTACGGCTTCATGAACGGCGTGCTAAACACAGATAACACCTCCATCCTCGGTCTATCCATCGACTTCGGCCCCTTCGCCTTCCTCGATACTTTCGACCCCACCTACACCCCCAACCACGACGACCACATGCTGCGCTACAGCTACCGCAACCAACCCACAATCATCTGGTGGAACCTCGTGCGCCTAGGCGAAGCCCTCGGCGAACTCATGGGCGCGGGCAGCAAAGTCGACGAAACCCAGTTCGTCGAAAAGGGTGTAACAGAAGAAGAAGCAGACGGCATAGTCAAATGCGGAGAATCCGCCATCGACCGCGCAGGCGAAGAGTACAAAGCCGTTTTCCTCGCTGAGTACCGCCGTCTCATGACGCTTCGTCTCGGACTCAAGACGCAGAAGGAGAGTGATTTTGAGGATCTGATGTCGGAATTGTTGGATACGCTGCAGATGTATGAGCTGGATTTCCATCATGCGTTTAGGCGGTTGGGGAATGTGAAATTGAGTGAAGTGGAGACGGAGGATCAGAGGAAAGATGTTGCGGGGAGGTTCTTCCGTAGGAACGACGCGCCGAGGCAGGAGAGCGATGGGCGGGAGCGGATTGGGAAGTGGTTGGAGAAATGGTCGCAGAGGGTGAAGGAGGATTGGGGGGAGGGCAAGGATGAGGAGAGGAAGGCTGCTATGGATAAGGTTAATCCTAACGTAAGTTCTAATGTTACCCGCTTTGGTCACTTGAGGCATAAGATGCTAACGAGATGCCAGTTCATTCCCCGCTCCTGGATCCTAGACGAACTCATCGAGCGCGTCGAAAAGAAACACGAACGCGAGATCCTACCTCAGATTATGAAACTCGCGCTTAACCCTTTCCAAGAGAGTTGGGAGTGGAATGCAGAGGAGGAAGAGAGGTTCTGTGGTGATGTACCGAAGTATAAGGGTATGTTGCAGTGTAGCTGTAGTTCTTAGATGATGCTCCTACATACACCTGGCCAGGTGTTGGAGTGTACAAAATGAATTGAAGACCTAGTCTACACCACCAACAAGATATTCACCAACTTCCAGATTCACGCTTCGGCCCAGTGCGCGTGCGTATTCCCAGCCAAAGTTCACGCGCCACCGTCCCCCGCCTTCTAGTGCGTCGTTGCTTCCTGCTCCTCCGGCTCTTACAAGCAGCCTCATGCTCGTTAGTGTAGCTATCTGTGTGTATAAATCCGCTACCTGGGGCACGGTGCCCTCGAGCAAGGCTCTGAAGATCGCGAGCAACCTGTCCAGAGTGAACGGGCTGGGCGTCAACAGATGCCGACTGATCTTCCGATGCTTAGCTCCTGTGCGCTTTCCCGTGACGCTGAAAGACGCAGCGCTGGGTGCGCGTCGCTTGTTCTTCCGCTTATCGGTGTGCTTCATGAAGTATGTGACGTCGGTTCGTGAGGGATTGTAGGACGCTAGGTATGCGGCGAGGAGGATGTGGGTGGTGAAGTACGGAAGCGTGTGCGCCGTCATGTTCGCTGGCTTCTTCTTGCTGGGCGTTGCTGGTGTAGCGCCTGCTGGTGCTGCTTCTTTGACAGGTTCGGCGGTATCCGAGATAATTCGATCCAGAACTGAGTCTTCAAGCTGGAAAAGATGCCGTCTGTTCACCATCAAGCGCGAGAAGTCGCGCGTGCCGAATTGTCCTGATACCACAGGCTCGACGAACGGTCGCCAGAGGCGCATTGCGCAGCTCTTGAAGCTGATCAAATCTCGTCCGGTGTGTTTCGCGAGGGAATCGTAGACGGCTTGGATGAAGCGGCCCCAGAGCCATTGATCGTCTTCGGCTGCGAGATCGGGTGTGTAGTCTGGGAATTGTTCGAGGGAGGGCGGTTCAAGAAAGATCTTTGGTGGGTTGGCGCCGAGGATTGTGAGGAGTTCACTGCGCGCGTAGGATGGGAAGTGGAGGAAGGAGGCTGATGATGAGTGGAGGACGGAGGGCGTGAGTGGGAGGGTTGTGGTGAGGATGAGGGAGAGGTTTGGTATCTATTCATACTGTTAGTGTCCCTTGCCGCAATCCGTGTAATGAATAACATACCATCTCTCCCAGTCTCCCCAACGCTGCGATTAATGTTCCACCCCCTTCCCTCAATTTATCCACCGCATCGAGCACCAAGACAAATTTCCCCCTGCCTGCCAACAGCTTTTCCATATTGACACATAGTGCGCTTAAATTCTCCGTACGCGCGTACGGTCTCCTATCAATCTTCTCGTCGTTGAACTCATCCAGCGCATCTAGACTAGCCGCGACGATGCGCTCCAGGAGATGCCGCGCGGTTATGCATTCGCGAACGTTGATGATGGTGTGTTGTAAACGGGAGAGATGGAAGAAGGAGCGCAATATCGAGGATTTGCCAGTCGCGGTAAGGCCATGTATGTTCAGAAAGGGTGGAGATGGGAGATGCGCCTGCGTAGTTGTTAGTACAATGGCCCGGAAGTCTGATGGGTGTACGGACGCTGTAAAGAGCTGCTAGATGGTGTATCTGCTGATCGCGGCATTGAAATTCAGCGGTTAGCTGCGCGATGATCTCGTCGGGTAACATTTTCGCGGTGTTGTTTGGGATGTTTGTAACCGCTGGCGGATTGAGGGTTGAGGAAGTCGCGCTAGCTTGGCGCCGAACGCGAGTGCACGTGCATCGTCCGCGACTTCCAACTCCATGCTTCCACTCACTCTTACATGTCACAGCAACTATTAATCCACCTCTCATAGCAACGAAGATCCCAGATCCAAATGGACAGTCACCCCGTTCATCGCCCTATACAGGGCAGCAGCCGCCATGTCGAAGTCTCGCCGACTGCGCCCTGCTTTCAGCCTATCAGGTTCGTTCTGGTGGTTGCACACGCGAACTGTGCCGTCGGACTGCATGATGATCGTACATGGGATGGACGCAGGACAGCAGCTTCGCCCCGCACTAGATGGTGCGAGCCATGACGTGCCCACTCTTAAGAGGCCTGCTCTTGTGCAGCTCGACTCCTCAACTTGCCCAAAAGCTACATAAACCCCGAGAAAGGCTTTTCGAAGCCCGAATGCTTCACTCGTCATGTCAGGTCTAGGCGAATTGGCAAGTGTTATCGCCGTACTCCAACTATCGGGCAAGATTGTCGACTACGTCGGGAAAGTAAAAGACGCCTCGGAAGACCGCAAGCGACTGCGCGGAGAAGTTCGAGCCTGCAAACGTATACTGCAAGAGCTGAAGGATGATGCCGAAGATATCGACGAGGGCGAAAGCTTGGTCGACACGATCAATGTGCTCGAACGACCTGATGGACCACTACCCCGACTTCAGACTATCCTACTGCAAGTGGAGAACCGACTGAGACACGACAATACTCTGAGGGGCTCATTGAAGTGGCCATTTCAAGAGAAGGATGTACAGAAGCTCATCCAGTCGATCGAACGCGAGAAAATCCTGATAAACTTGGCCCTATCGCGAGATTCTCGGAAGCTGCTTCGGGAGATCAAGGAATGCGCGGAGCAAAACAATCGAGACCTTGCGCTTCTACTGCAATCGATGGACATGAGTGCGAGCAAGATCGGGGAGGAGTTCTGTAAGCTTAATGATCACATGTCGCAAATTCAAACGCTCCAGGTCGGTTTGCACCACGACGTCGAACGTCTTCAAAGTACCGACCACCACCGGGAGTCTTCCAAGAAACGCGACGCGGTGCTCCAATGGCTATCTACTTATGATCATGCATCCAAGCATCATGATATATTGAGCAAGCGACAAGAGGGTACTGGCAACTGGTTTCTAGAGTCGAAAGCCTACGACACTTGGCTCGACAACTCCAGTGCGAGAAAGCTACTCTGCACTGGCCTGCCTGGGGCTGGCAAGACGATGCTCGCCTCCATCATTATCGACGATCTACAAACCCGATTCCAGACCAACGCCGGCGTAGCAGTCGCCTACTTCTATTGCGATTACAGGACTCGCGATGAGCAAACCCTGGAGTTTATGCTTTGCAGTCTGTTGAAGGTACTGGCAGAAAGCCAGGAAACTTTGCCGATACCCATCGAACAGCTATATTCCGACCATGGGAAGGGCGTCAGACGTCCTTCGTGGAGGACCCTCGCTCAATGCCTCAATGACGTGGCTGCGCTGTTCCAGAGACTATACGTTGTGATCGATGCACTAGACGAATGTCAGGTATCTGATGGCTGCAGGAGGATAATCTTATCCGAATTGTTGAATCTGCAAGCAAACTCCAGAACAAGTCTGCTAGCGACATCAAGGACAGTCCCAGAAATGCTTGCAGAATTCGGCGCAGAGAAGCCTCTCGAAGTACGTGCTAGTAGCGATGATGTTCGCAAATACGTGGTCGGCAACCTCAACAACATGCCACAGTTTGTTCAGCGCAATGTCGAACTCCAGGAACTAATCAAGCTGAAAATCGTCGAATCAGTGGATGGCATGTAAGTAGTACAAAGCAAGGTTCAGAGCATCACCAAGCTTGAACTGCGCAATGGAGATGCCAGCCACTGACTCAAGCTAGGTTTCTTCTAGCGAAGCTCTACCTACAAAGCCTATACGACAAGCGATCAGCAAACGCGGTACGCAATGCGCTGAAAGAGATAACAAAGGAAGCAAGCGGTCAGAAGGCCACTACCGAGACCGAAGCATATGACTATGCGTATCGACTTACGATGCAGCGTATTGAAGAGCAATCTTCCGACCGAGCAGAGCTTGGTAAAGAGGTGTTAGCTTGGATTACGTGCTTGAGGCGACCCTTCAAAGCTTCAGAGCTTCGCAAAGCGCTTGGTATACGAGTGGGGCAGTCTGCATTCGATGAAGATGATTGTCCTGACATCATTGACATGGTTTCCGCTTGTGCTGGTCTGGTGACTATCAATTAAAAAAGCAATATTATCCGTTTGGTACATTATACCACCCAGGAATATCTCAACCGGACACAGGATCAGTGGTTTCCGGAAGCAGAGAGGATGATCACAGAAGGCTGCATCGCGTATCTTTCCATGGACGAATTTGGGAGTGCCGACCGATATTCCGGTATGATCAGGATCTCTAGGAAACATAAACAGCTGGAAGGTTTCCCAGGATACAACGACAATGTTTATGATTACGCTGCATGCAATTGGGGACATCACGCTCGTAAAGTTCCCCAAGCCCGTCAGGCAGTCATCGATTTCTGTACGCTATCGTGGAATTTGAAATGCTCCGCATTGATGCTGGTTGTCAGGCTTTCCTGGTCAAGGGGGACATATCGCTTTGTGATGGGTAAGCAGCGGACCAAGCCAGATGAAGACACTACTTCAGGTTTCCATCTGTCTGCTCAATTCGGACTTCGCGACATACTCGTCGTACTATTGCAGCAAGGATACGATATAAACGCACCCGACCGATTTGGTAACACCGCACTGATGCTAGCCGCACGAAATGGCCATCTAGATACCGTTAAACTGCTTCTCAGTCACGGTGCTAGGACAGACCTGAAAAACCTATCCGGTTACTCATTACTCCATTGCGCAGTCCACAGTCGAAACATTGACATTGTTCAGCTCGTCATTGTGGACGCCACTACCAAGAAATCGGTGGATGCGATTCTGGATGGTGGAAAAGATATGGTACCTTCCATTCACTCGCCATTAGTGCCAGCAGTGGAACGTGAGGATGTGAACATTGTTAGACTTTTGATTAGTTACGGGTTAGACGTAAACTTACATACCAGCTCTACCCCCGGAGGACGCCGCGATGAAAGCCCGTTGTGTATAGCCGCCGCGGGACGCAATCACGAGATCTTTGAAATGTTGCTGGAAGCCGGAGCCGACATTAATTGTTGCTCGGGGTATAAGTCAAATACAGCTCTGCATGTCGCTGCATTTCGCCAAGATGTCTGTTGGGTCCGATATCTTCTCAGCCAAGGCGCCAACATCAACACCCAAAATGAGGAAGGTCAAACCCCGCTGGCTTGGATCTGCAGTCAGGATAGCGATAACACAAACTCTCAGTACACTCCTCGATGCAGGAGCGGATACCAATATACCCGATAATGAGGGCCAGTCGGTACTTCACCAGGCCGCCTCTTCGCAAAGAAGCTACCTGATACCTCTGTTCATCAGGTTTGGCGCAAAAGTAAGCCTCATATCAGACTATGAGTTACGAGGACATTGTATAGACAAGCTTCGTCTGTACCCCAAGTTTCCAGAAAAGCTTGATGAAGACAAGGACGAATGGACGATTGCACTTAAAGCTCGAGAAAATGCTTGGAGAAACCGCAATGAATTGGCAAAAGCTTCAATAAGCCCCAAAAACGAAACGTAAAGAGGAAAATCTCCGCTTAATAGGGGATTCAGGATTCAGCGCCAACAGCCCAAAGATCTCACACGAGTGCCATTTGTCAGGCTTGGGTTCGAGTGACAACATCTTCAACCCTCGCTGTACGCGTCACAGACTACAGTCTTGAGACTAGACATGGAACAATCAACTTTTGAAGACTCAATGAGCGCGTATCTGATACGTGCTTTGACAAGCTTGCTCGGGAATAGAGTGTCACGTGATGCTAAGTCGGCGCCCACGGCAGGGCACCATCTGGGCACTTGCCTACGTGGGCAGCCAGGCCGTCAGCGTCGTCCACCCGCACCACGAACACCTTGACACGATATGATAGCGACCTCTCCACATATTCGCATCATGTCGTCACTCATTGACGATCGCGCATCCGTTGCCTGCTGCAGCAATGTGGCACAGCCTCCCATCATGCATGAGCTTGATTGGGGCTCTCACCAACCCCGCGTCTCGTGCCATCTCACTATAACATGACACCATCACCAAGGCAGACATGGAGACGACCGCAAGCATCATAGCAGTCGCCCAGCTATGCGAAAAGGTCATCAAATACATCATCGCCGTATCCGGGGCCAAGCACGAGAAACAGCGTCTCCGCTCGCAGGTTCGAAGCTGCCATAATCTGCTCCTGCAGTTGCAAGATGAAGCAGAGGATTCTGAAGAGGCCGAAGAATGGTCCAAAACCTTGAAGCTGCTCTCTACTCCGCTTGCGCGCCTTCACGAAGCGCTCAGCCTGGCGGCCGCTGCGTTGTCCGCCCGAGACGGCATCGTCGAAAAGTTGCGATGGCCGTTCAAAGAGAATGACGTGGAGAAGCTGATTGAGGCGATCAAGTGTGAGATGGACATGGTGACTTTCGCTCTCCATAACAATGCGACATCACTACTCATCGCAATCAACGCTGGCTCCAAGCGCAATGAACAGCTTCTCATCGAAGTGAAAGCCGCTTTGGAAATACGTAACCAGAAAACAAATCTCACACTGCGAAACATCAATGGCGAGCTGGAATCAATCCAAACGACCCAGAATGACGTTCGAGGAAGAGTTGAGGAACTGCATGGGCGTCAGGATACGGAGGAGGCTATGAGAAAACGCCAGCGCATTCTTGATTGGCTCACACCCATCGACCACGCTTCAGAGCAGCGGGACGCCATCAGTCGGCGACAAAAAGGTACAGGTGAATGGCTGCTACGCTCACAGGATTATCAAGACTGGATCAGTACCGACAGCCGCACCTTGTTCTGCCCTGGTATACCAGGTGCTGGCAAGACGGTCTTCGCCTCAATCATCAACGCTGATCTATGGGAGCGTTATCATCATGACCCTACAATTGGCTTGGCACACCTTTTCTGCAACTACCGGCGTCATAACGAGCAGACACTAGAAGCCCTACTCTCAGGAGTTCTCAAACAGCTTGTCGAACAGCACGTTTTCTTACCACAATGCGTCGAAGACGTTTACGACAAACAACAAGAGAGAGGGGCTCCAGATCGAACAGAGGCCATCATGGGTGCGCTAAAGTCACTGATGTCAACATACTCAAGAGTATTCATCGTAATAGATGCTCTCGACGAATGCTCTACGTCTCATGGCTGCCGCACACGGCTGCTGTCAAGTGTTCAGAGCTTACAAAAGCAGTGTCACATCAACTTACTTGCTACGTCACGATTCATACCAGAAATCACCGAGAAGTTCAAAACAGCCTGTCAGCTGGAAATTCAAGCAGACAGCAACGACGTGCGAAGATACCTCTCTGACAATATAACTCGCCTACCAGGTTTTGTGCAAGATAACATCGGCTTGCGGGAGGAAGTCGTGTCCAAGATCGTTGAGGCAGTGCGCGGAATGTATGTCGCTTCCTCCTAGGGTTGTGAATTCACTAATGAGACGACAGGTTTCTCTTAGCCAAGCTGCACCTTGATTCTCTGATCGGGAAAAGATCCGCGAAAAAAGTGAAAGTCGCCTTGAACGAACTTGCTACCGGATCCGATGCTTACGATTCGGCATATGATGCTGCCATGAGGAGGATTGAGAGCCAAGTCGCTGACCAAGTCGAGCTGGCTAAGCAAGCATTGACATTTCTTACCTGCGCCCGAAGACCGCTCTCTACAGAAGAGCTAAGAGAAGCCCTGGGTGTGGAGGTCGGTTGCCCGGAGTTTGATCCAGACAACTACCCTGATATTGTGGACATTCTATCTTCGTGTCTCGGCCTGATTGCCGTGGATGAGGACAGTGGCATCATTCGACTCGTTCACTACACGACACAAGAGTATCTTGAGCGCACCCTCGATCGATGGTCTCCGGATGCACAGTCTACGATAACAAGTGTCTGTGTCTCTTACTTATCTTTAGATAGATATGCCGACCCCGACAACTTGGATCCCTCAAGAGACAGCGATTGGTACGTCTACTGTGCGAGTAATTGGACGCATCATGCTCGCCTGGCCCCATCGTGCCTTGCCCTCGTCGTCAAATTCCTCCTGCGACAGGTCAACGTCATCAAAAGCCGCTTGCATGCGCGGGTACATGACACACCCACGGACTGTTATGAAGAATTGTGTGAAATGACGCCTCTGCGATGGACTACTGGGCTTCACGTAGCGATCGCGTCAAGACTAGAAGCCGCTACTGTTGCGCTGCTCAAGCAAGGACCGGATCTTCACGCGCGAAACCGGACAGGCCATACTCCGCTTATGATGGCTGTCTATTACAGCCACGAAGTTATTCCTGAGATATTGCTCAGAGATGACTCTTGTATCGATGCAACTTCAGACGGTTTGAGCCAGACAGCCTTGCACCTGGCCTCGATATGCGGAGAAGACAATGTCGTCAAAATGCTTATTGAACATGGAGCCACTATAGACCCAAGGGACGCTGGATACGCGACACCCCTGCATCTTGGCATCTTACAAGGCCATATCAAGGTTGTAAAGACCTTGCTCGACGCCAAAGCGGACATAAAAACGAGTCTCTGGTCGTCGATTCTCAAAGGCATGCGATCGGCCTGGGACATTGGTCTACGAAGAACAAACCTCTTCACAGCAGTCTTGAACTTCTGTCCCGATATGGTCAAACTTCTTCTTGAGTATGGCGTGGACGTCAATGAACGCGAGGAACGATCTCTTGCAACGGCACTCTTCTACGCTGTACAGGTGAATGCAACTTTGAGGTTCGACGCAGTAGAGGTACAAAAAACCATGGAAGTTATCCAAATCTTACTCGAAGCCGGCGCTGATCCCAACATCCCTACCTGCGACGGATTTACACCACTCGATAACGCAATCTCGCGCGATTACGAAGACGCGGGCATGGCCATTGTCAAAATACTGCTTGACGCCGGGGCGAACTGCAATCACCAAAACGAAAACGGATATACCGCGTACCAAGAAGCTTTGTTGTGGGAGAAGGACAAAATCGCGCAGTATCTACTTGAGCGCGGGGCTGATCCCCAGCTAGGCTTGCTGTATCGTCCTGATTCTCCATTGCAATCAAAAAATTCGCTTTTGGAGAAGAGAACGCTACGCCGATATTGGGAGGGAAATGGTGTTGAGGTGTGATATGTGGTCCAGATGAGGAGACGAGTAATCGAGCCAGGCTCTTGTGTTGACAATACTTTTCTTTTTTCGAGAGGATCTAATTAGATAGATATATATATATTTCGGAAGTTGTAAGCCGCTTATCGGGCATGAGAGGCACCCGGAGGCCTTCCTATTCCCTTCAACATGTATTTTAATTCACCCTAGAACAGGCCTACTAGGCAGTGCGTTACTACTGTAATTCCTTGGCGGTGCCTGCTGGAATGCCCTCTGGGAGGTTACATATAGGCGTTAAACCAACATCATCATCGTCATCATCCTATGTCGCTTATCTGCGTCGCGCCACTGCAGTACTATAGGACAAAGTAGAAGAACTAGAGTACGCATCGCACTCTGAGTTGGAAGAGGGCAATATGAGTAATCAAGCCAACAACCACGTTAGATCTTGACACTCCATGATCAGCCACCATCACGTCAAAATTCGACTTTAGCTCTCGAACACAACTAATCAGCACACATAATTTAAACAAAAGAACCACATAAAGTCCATTCACGTGACCGAGTCTACTATATTAGCCTTGCTACGTATAAACGCAACCTCCCTCTTTACAGCCCTGCCTTCCCCAACCCCTTCCCCTCATCATCACTCTCCCTCTCCACCGTAGCCTCCACATGCTCCGTCATCAAATGCTTAATCCCCTTCATCGACAGCACCGCAATCGTAGCCAGCGCAACAAACGGCACCACGCTCCAATACCCCAACCTATACGCCCGCGCATACGACCAATGGCTCGCATCCCACGCAGCCGTAATGATAGTCTCATTCATACCAGGTACACCCTTACCCCGGTATTTAGGCGCAGAACTACCCTTCATACCCGCCAGAAGCGCAGGCACGGAAGATTCAGGGAGCCCGGCAGCGATGGCAGCAGAGCTGATGTCACCGGCGAGGTGGGATGCGATGCGCGAATTCACGATTGCGTAGATGACGGCTGTGCCGAAGGCGCCGCCGATGGCTCGGGCGGAGAAGGCGAGGCCGGTGGCTGTGGAGAGGAAGGCGTGCGGGGCGGTGAATTGGATGCATGCGACCAGGAGTGTGAGAGGGCCGGCGCAACCGATACCTGTTAGGGCGGTGAAGATGATTTGTTCGGTTGCCCAGCCGGGGCGGATGAATGCGAAGCAGATTGAGGCGATGAACATTATGGCGAAGGTGGCTGCTAGGGGGGTTTCTGGGGGGATGTTAGTGGGAGGGATGAAGTAGGATGCAGTGTTGCTTACTCATGTCTTTGAACTTTGTCGCGTACCATGTCACAGCTAGCGAAGTGAAGATCGATGCAATCTTGTAGGACAGCTGTCGGATCGCAATGTCCCATGCGTTATCTTGGAACCCGACGTTCAGGATGAGCTGTGGTGTAACGGCATTGATGGCGGAGTAGTAAATCCATCCCTCGATAGCAAAAGCGAAAGTCGACAGCCAGAAGTTAGGCCCAGTGGAGAAGAAGACGTGCGCGACGATGCCATCAGACCGGCCCTTCCATTCTGTACCATGTCAGCTTCTCATTCGGAGTCTTGTAGGGAATGATCGTTACCGTAAAGACAGAAGGCAACGAAGAGGACAATGCCAACAACTAGGTTGGCGCATACATGCGGGTTACTCCACGGGTACGCGCCACCTGCCCAGTTGAGCGCCAGAAGCATCAAGGTAGCAGCAGCAACGAGAAGAAGGGAACCGATAGGGTCGCAAGCCCACATCCACTCTTTGAAGCTCATCCGCGGATAGTCGGTGCGTTTCTTTGGCCAGTAGAATGCGAATAGACCAAGGGATGTGGTGCCGTGTAGGCCGACTTGGATCCAGAAGATGTAGCGCCAGCCGGAAGCGCTCAGGTTGGTAACCGCACCAGCTGCTAGACTACCGACACTGCGCAGAGTTAGTACCTGTCAAATTTATTTACCTACGCGAGGTGTCTACTTACGTTCCGCCCAACACACCGGCGACGCCTGCAAGTCCGTTCGCTAGAGGTCGATACTTCAAAGGCAGAATCTCGGACGGGATAGACTGAACGATGGAGATGGTCGCAAGCGTCGTGCCGATGAGAATACCGCCTCCAATCAACATAGACATGCTCGTAGCTTTGGCGCAGATGATGGAACCAATGCATGCGATCAATGGAGGGATGGTGGCGAACAGCTTGCGGTCCAAGACATCAGACAAGCGACCGACGGGAGGAGAGAGAACTGATTGCATGAGGAGCGGGCCCTACAGAGTGTTAAAATCTGGTGTCAAAGTCTCTTGTTAGGTCTGCTGTACCTGGATGATCCAGCTTGCAATGGCAGGTTCTCCAAGCTCGCGGATGATGAACGACAGTACTGATCCCGCAGCCACTACAACGAAGACTTGAGACATGACGCTACATTGTAAATTAGCGAGGCCACGCAAAAGACTGCGCGCCACTCACGCGAAGCAACAGCAGAAGACAACCATCCACGACCTCCATGACAGCTTGACATGATGGACGTCCTCATTGGCTTCCTGGTCGATGGGCACGATGTGGGCGTCGCGCCCGTGGGCGGTCTCGATATGGGTAGCTCCCGTTTTGCTATCCATGGCTGTCTACACGACACGACAAGCTGGATCGAGGAAGAAGATGAGATGCGCGAGGTCTGCATCCCATATCACTACACATATGCTGCAGTGGGGCACCATGCCGTGGGCTCTTGGCCGGGGCATTCTGACAACGGGATGAGCGGTAGCGGGCTTGAGCAACAACGCCATGCATATCGGCAGATTTGGATGCTGGGGTTGAGGCCCTCTCAAAACGCGTTTGGATGATGTTTACCGAATCATCGGGAGGAGATGATGCGGGGCCCCATATTGGGTGAAGATTGGCGCTCCTTCGCTGCAACGTGATGCGGGGAGGCGCGCCCACGAGTCGGGAGCTGCGCGCCTTACCCCGAGACGCCTCCTACTCTTTCCTTCTCACTCCATGGGTGAGGATTTATCGCGACATGTTGCTGCTGTATGATGAGGGCTGGTGAGGAGCGAGGAGGTGATGGTGATGAAAGAGGAAGGGTCAACCGGAGTTAAGCAGGCTCGCCCCGCTGGACCCTGAGACTTTTGTTGTCTTTGCGCAGGCTTCACGCTCCCACCGACCAACATCCCACCGCCAGCCTCTTAGCCAACGCCTATACGACGCATAGTAGCCTTTTAGCTGCCCTCAACACTGACTCCCCCGCCAGGCGATGCTATGAGCAGCCCACCGCCTCTCGCAGGCCATCTGGTCCCCCTCCGCACCAAGGATGAGGTGCGCGCCAGCCTGGAGACGCACACCGTCTATGTCGTCGAGGTGCCGGCCAAGTTTGCCAACGTTATCAAGGAGTGAGGCCTTCACTCCTGGGGCTCCCGCTTGATCTCTGCTAACCTCGCCCGCTCGCAGTGCCGTGCAAGCAGCGTTGCCCGACTTCAAGACGTCGGAGATCTCTCACCTGCGCCGCGTGGTGCAGTTCAAGTACCTGCCGCCGCACCTGCAGAAACAGTTCTATCCGCCTGCAAGGCTCCCCAGGGGTAACGAAGATGCTCCTGCCTCAGAACTACCATCTTCCCCACTAACACCGGCGACCCCCGCTTCCCTTTCCGCGTCCCCGTCCTCAGTCGATGCTGGCAGTGAGGCTGCTCATGGAGAGGCTGATGCTAAAGATTTTGATCTAGTCCGCTACTTCCTGCTGTGTCCCACGCGCCATATGCCCCACGCCAATCTCGCGGCTCTGATACGGACCTGTCCGCCTTTCGACGGCCCCAAGACTGCGCTCCCTCGGATCCTCTACGTAACCGTGCCGGCCCTGGCGCCCATCTCCCAGCAACAGGCTGACGACTGGAGCGACAAGTACTGGCCCATCTCGTACAAGAACACCAACCCCTACGGCCCCCATCCGAGTCTCGTACAACGTAACCAGGAGGAACTACAACCCGAGGCAGGCAACTGGCTGGCTCTCGCCCGAGCGGCCGGCCAGCAGATATCGGATCAGTGTCTGGGTGAGAAGATCGGCGTCGTTGTGGTTGACCGCACCAGGAACCAGCCAGAGATCGTCGCGGTTGCAGGCGACTGCCGCTGGAGGTCTTTCACCGGCACCGCTGAACCGCCCACCGGCACCGGCAATGTCATGGCTCACGCTGTCCACCGTGCCATCGCCATGGTTGCGAAGAAGCGGCTGCGTGCTGCCGGCACCGACCCTGCACTCCTCGACCGCTCCCTCTTCTGCGACAACCCCCTCACCGGCCTCGAGAAGCTATACTACGAAAAGGACAACCTCTCATCCAGCGGCTATCTGTGCGTAGACCTCGACATCTACCTCACCAACGAGCCCTGCGTCATGTGCTCCATGGCCATCCTCCACTCGCGCTTCCGGCGCTGCATCTTCGGCAAGCGCATGCCTTACACCGGCGGCATAACAGCAGACGGACCCGGCGACTCTTCCTCAGCGGGCAGCGGACTGAAGAAAGGCCTCTTCTGGCGACCGAGCGAGCTCAACTGGAAGTTCCTGGCCTGGGAGTTCAACGAGGAGGGCAAGACTGCGGATGCCGACAGTGGCTTCAAGGAGACACTGCATGCATAAACGCGTGCCATCACGCTTGACCTGCATTGGATACAAAGCATAGACACGGCGTATTGGATTAACACTGTCGATGGAATGGGATGGGATTATAGGGGATGATTATACCAGCATGAGTTACGTGAATACGGGGTTAGGAAGGAAGCATCTGTACGATAGTGAATGAAATGGAACGTTCGCATATGATATAGTTGGCATTTTTCATGTTGACTTGACAACCCCATGCGCATTCCCACCCCCTCCTTCCTACACCTCATACCACTAATCTCAACCGCGTCCTCTCCCAACTTTCTCCCCGTCAACAATAACACTGCCCAAGATCTCCATGAACCGATTCTTCTTCTCCTTCTTCTCTCCCCTCCTCAATCCGAACCCTTGCGTACCTTGCAGTTCGAAGAGTCGGTCCCATTGCTCCAGCCAGTCTACTCCTCGGGGAGGGGCGGGCTTGCGTTTTATCAGCGGAGCGAAGTGGGGTAGGGACGAGGAGGGGGATATATGGTAGGGGCGTTGGAGTAATGGGGGTGGAGAGGGCGAGGGTGATGGAGATGGTGGCGGTGAAGGAGAGGGTGGCAGTGAAGGAGAGGGTGAAGGCCTAGGTGCTGGAGTGGTCGACCTGTAAGGGTATGGCGATGGAGATGATGCGCGTAGTGTGTTGTCTAGAAGAAAGGGCTTCTTTTTTGAGAGATGTGACTTCGGTAGAGGTGCGAAGGTTAGGTTGCGGGTTGGGTGCGTAGATGCCAGGGGTGTGCCGGGGCGGAGGGAGGGCGGTATCAAGTCTAACGGTGAAGAAGGCCGGGAAGCAGATGGAGAGGTTGGGGATAGACGCGAAGAAGACCTCGGTGGGGTTGATGGGCGTCTTGATGTCTTGACTGAACGCTGGAAGTCGGAATTATCTGGCGGAGTAATGGACCTGAGGTGTTCAGAAGGTGTCCGCGCGAGACATTCCTCGATGAGTTCTTGTGTTGGGATTTGTTCTGGTGCTGGTGGTAGACGACCTAAACATTCGAGAACGAGATCACTAGTGCTGGGCGCTTGGGGTGGTTCTGGTGTGGGTGGTAGGGGCTTGTCGATATCTATGTCAGGAGTCAATGATCTCGTCGAGGGCCGGGGACTCCGCAGGTTCCGAGACCATAGGGTGGATTCTTGATGATGAAGATCTCGGTCGGTCATGATATGCAAGGAGGGAATTCTGAGTTGCGATGCGAGCCTGTTTTGCTGATTTTGACGCTTTTCTGTCGACGTACCATGCCTGGTGTCGAGACTTGTTGATGACTTGTCAGTTCTCGAAGGGGTCGTTGCTTTGCCCAAATATTGCGCTGCCATGGCATTCAGTTCCGGATCATCGTCAATACTCCATTTCTTCCCTCCTACTGCGTTCACCTTGTCTGTCTGCTCAAACTCACCCGCCCTTCCATGCCTATAACACGACCCTTCATCATGGATATGGTATTCACACCCCTTTACATCACTGCTCCCAGTCACAATGTCCTCCACTGAATTCCGTAGCATACCCAGCATCCTCCTATCATACGCAAACATCTTGTCCGTAACAAACCTCCGCAGTAACGTCGACGCATGTTTTTCCAGATACAGTATTGCAAGCATCTTTTGATCGAACGTTTGCGCGGAGTCAAGAACAGAAGCTAGCTTTTCGATGATGTAGTCTTGGAAGTTCGGTTGCGAGAACGCGGAGCCGACGATGTGCGCGTATATCAAATCGATGCAGGCGTTGAGTTGAAGGGATCCTTGGGTGGAAACTTCCACGGCGCCAGTAGTGAGCCATTCGATGTAAAGCTTGAAGCCTGCGGGATCGATGTCGCCGAGCTGAATGGGCAGTAAAGGTCTGTCATCGCGCACGTGCTGTGGAAGGTAGATGCGAAGGTACGGTGAGCGCTCGGCTATGGCATATTCGACTTCGATGTGCTCGGTAGGGCAATGCTCTGACAGCGTGGTCCGACCTGCAAGTACGAATGTTACCGAGTTTAAAGATGACCTAGCCACAAACATGCCGGTCTCACACTGCGAAGGCGTTGTATACATGCCGAGCGATATGCTATCGCGAAGACGATGGAGACATCATGAGTGGGCTTCAGACTTGGCGTCTTTGTCGTAACTTTACTGTGGATTGTAATGGAAGAATAGCGATGATTAAGTTGTCGCCATGATGCGGTTTTGGATCGCTTCCAGCCATGGCGCGGCGGCATCAGCGGTCAACGTGAACTTCCGTTTGCTGGTGGTAACGTGACGGATCTGTCGATGACAAACAGACGCGCGCTTCACACTAGTCCCAGTGGATATGACCAAGCCAGTTCCTTCAACACTCGCACTTTGCAAAGTATCAGTGACCAGTTGAACTTAGAATACTGCACCGCTACCATTCTTTCCAAGGCAGTGACTGGCTTACTTCCCAGCATGGGAAACCTCTTTACCGACAAGATGTCTGCTTCAGACAAGCGCGATATCCAAAGGAGGCTCGAGCGCGGCAGCATGCCTCCGCGCATACCCACTGACTTTCCAAGATTCGATGCTGAAGGAATCCCGAATCCCAGAACGTCGAGAGCCTCGCGTTCTTCCAGCAGTACCGCACTTAGTCCAAGAAGCCAGAAACCTAGAAACGTCGACCGCATTTTCGATGGAAGTGAGCATATCAGCGATACGGGTCGCAAGTTTCGCCGTCGGCCGAGCATCGAGGCACGCACAAGGAAGAGCGATTATCATACGCTGCTTGAAGGCGGGAGCCTGTGGAGTGACGATGAAGTCATCGATGATGTTGACATGGACGTGCAAGGACCTGTACAGTCAGAACTTGTGAAAGAGGAGTCATACAACACGCAGCGAGTACAGTTGGCACCGCCGATAACAGATGCGGCTGTGGATGCACCGAGACAGTCAATGATCAGCGTACTATATGGTCGCCAGGACCCAAATTGCTGGTACTTGACACGGCGCTTGGCCCGGTTGTCTGCTGTCAACGTTGATACCGAATTCGATTCAACGATTCTGCTCAGACGCCGTAACATCGACGCTGATGCAACGGAACTTCACCAACTATGGCGGCGCACCGGTGTTATATCCACCCGTTATCGCGACGTCAACTTCGACCCCGACGGTATCAACCCGCAGCACACATGGATCGCGTGTTGGCCTTTGGTCAACGCAGCGATACACGGCTACGTGGTAGATGATGTCGAATTCGTTGACCGCGTCATGGACCTGCTCGAGGAAAAGATAGTCAAGGGCGTACGACCGGATATCGCTACCATCTCGCACATATTTGGCGAGAAAAGACACAACATGCCGAAAGCTCTAGGCCGCTTTCTAGTCGATCGATGGCTCGACTCAGCGACGGAAGGCTTTGGCGACGTCGACCCGTCGGACTTGCCGCAGCCTTTCGTGTGCTCCGCGCTCGAGACAGCTATGCGGCGCCTCTCAAGCGACAAAAGATCGTCACCGGTGCTGAATTGTCAGTATCACACGCATGCGACGCCCGAGGAATGCTACAAGCAGAGAATTGCACCTGAGGAAGCAAAAAGATAACAACGCTACAAGTACCGTCGCAAGAACGCGAGCCGCGAAGCTGAGCAAGTCGCTGCAGATTCTATTGAATGTGGCATTGTCGTGGTGGATTGGGAAGGGCGAAGACTTGAGCAACACAGGAGGTTGCGCGACGAAAGTGATGCTTCTTTGCCTGCTTTCGATGACCGGATCGCAACCTCAAGAGAAACGCGAGAGGCGAAACCCTCGGATGGGCTTGGTGTGCTAGGGGATATCGATGCGAATAACCAGCTCAATGCGAAATCCTCGTCGTCGTCCATGTTCGGCACGGCGCAAGCTGATGGCCCCGTTGACGAGGTGAAGTTTGCGCCACCAACACAGGAGCCACCGCCGCCGCCATCGCCAAACGCACGCGTCGGACGCGATGACAGCGCTGTTGAAGGCGATCAGACCTATGGGTCACTTTTAAGGAATCAGCAAATTCAGTTCTCGTTGTTTGACGGTGCGATGCAGGCTGTGAAGATCGAAGAGGATGATGAGTCAACGGCGTTGGGCGCACCTGCCATGCCGCGAGACTCAGACGCGAACGCACGGACCGTCTCAGGGGAGAGTCCACGCCGAAGAGAGCGCAGGACATGCCCCGGATCGTTTTCGGAGTCAAGATCTGGGAGTTCAAATAAAGCTGATGCTGTGTAGCTGGCATGTTTGGATTTCGCGAGCCCGATCTAGGCTTCGTTAGAGAGCGCGTGTTAGTTACACAGGACAGAATGTGTGAAATTGGCTGTTCGATTGCTAGCTGTTTGTCATAATGTACTTAGTTTTAACGCGGTCTTAGGACGTCTTCGAATTGCTCAGAAGATGGCAGTGCCGTTGACGTGTGAGCTTACTCCGCCTATGATGCTGTTAGCGATTGCAAGAGCTTATCATTCCAGGTATTCAGCGTACCTGGGCAGTTAGCAGGCGCAGAAGTGAAGAAGAAGAACCATCTGTTCTTCTCGCGGCACGTTTGCGCAAGCTTCTCCAGATCCAGCATTTCGCCCAGCGGCATGCCCCAAAGGGCGAGGATGTACTCGTGGAGGTGGTAGTCTAGCAACGTTAGTCTGATGTTGTACGAAGACTTGAGGAAACGTACTCTCATGTGTAGGCCACGCCTCGAATGCAGGCGCATCACCAGCAACAGACGCAAAGTAGCTATCATGCAGCCAATCCAAAATCTTTTCTTCCTGGCTCACACCAGCATACCGCTGACCATCCTCACCATCCTTACCACTACCATGTCGAAGAGCAGCCTTGCTTCGATCTTCATCACTCTTGCTGTCGTACGCCTCCTTCCATCCGCTGCGGATGAACAGCATATCTCCAGGCTTGATGTCACCGCCTTGAGCCGCAGGGCGAATGTCAATTCCCTGGTCTTGGCCGCACTGATAAAGGTCCTGCCACGAGATGGGGTAGTAGTCGTAGGGGTCGTAGTTGATACCCTTCTTGTGTGCGTAGCCCCGGTAGTCTAGAAGGATGCCGCGACCTGCGATGCCGTGCTCGGCCCAGTGGTGGATGGAACACTTGTGGTTTGCGTTTGGACCGGCAATATCGCTTCCTTTGGTCTATACTGGATGTCAGCAAAAATTCGTGGTGATGAGTCTAGATACATACGCCATTGTAGAACGAACCACTAGGAATATGAGCGAAATGTCGGAAGCCATCCCATTGCGTGCCAGACTGAGTGTTCATATGATACACATCGTCGTAGGCAATGCCTTCAGCCAGCGTCTTGATCTCATGCTGAAAAACCTCACGACCAAACGCGGGAACATTCGGCACGTTGAGAGGGAGGCTACCTCGCTGTCAGCAACGACATATTAGAAGGACCATGAAAACACGGACTTAACAGGTACAATTTCACCCGTTCGTATCTCTCTTGCAGCCGCGGCGACACGTGTAGGTGTTAGGAGATTGAGACGGCCGATCTACATCTGATCAGTTCGGCCCGCAACTAGATTAGACTTCGGTCGAACATACGTAGTCGCTGTCACCCCAAACCCAAGCAGCCTCCGGAGGCGCCCCGGGAATCTGAGGTAATTCCTTCCTTGTCGGAAATTTAGTACTATCTGGATCCCATGGTATGGTTGTTGCCGTCTTATTCATGGTGAGAAAATCTTTGATCTGCGTCAAGCGCTGACTGGCTGTCGAGGTCTTGGGGTCGGTCATGTCAGTGAGGCAGCGGCGATCGGGCTTTGTCGGTGTCTGATATGGTGGTTGCGGGTTTTGCAACGCGTGGATAGTTCTTCTTCAAGGTTTCCCCAGAATATCAACGATGTCTCGAGCTGTTATGACGTTTACCCCGCATTTCTTGGAATGCTGGTGGAGCCGCTCGGGCACCGAGGCATTTGTGGGGTCGTGGCTCCTCCGCCCTGACTACCGGCAACCGACTCGATCATCTAACATCACGACGTTCCATCGATCTTTTGCTGGTGTAGTGTGCTCCACGATGTTATTGCTCCTAAAAATGTTTGCATGAGTAGAGTTGAGATGGCATGTGGCGCTAGCATAGGTTGATTGTTGGTGGAATTATTGAAGTGGATGACGTAAGGCGGCTAATCACCACTCTAGCCGTAGCGTTTCCAGAATCCCAAGATTGCCACCTGGGTCATTCTTGGCCAAAAGCTTGTCGTCTGGTCAAGAAAGTCTTGTTCACTGCACAGAGTCTTGTCTCGGACATCAAAGTTCGTCGAGCGTAGATGCAGATGAGGATGCCAGGGAAAAGACGCAGTGTCTATTGAGTAATCCCTAGATAAACTTCTAGTGTCAACAGCATCAGGGCACGCACTAAGCTCTGATCGTCTCATCGCCCACCACGCTTCCGGGATCATGGCTAGATCGGCAGGTGGTTAGTCTCGTTGATGTCCGATGGAGCGGTAGGTACTATGCCCATAAACTTCGATTATCATCCCGACACCACTCGGGTAAACCTGTCAACCATTGAAGAACCGTGAGCCTTACTCACTTCGTCAAACACGCTCATAACCTTCTCGGTCTGTTAGAGTCCGAGCCGTTGACCCAGACATAAGCTCATACTTTCCGCGGTCGATGGGCGCATCACGAGCACTTCCCTCCCATCGATTTAGCCGGTTGCTATCAGGACCTCCAGCCAGGGCTATTGGCTACAACAAGCTCGCATCAGCACAGCTCACAGAGGCACGGATGCATCGGTGCATCCTTCTAGTGCGCGCAAAGCTGTTGGAGGGATAATTCTAGTCCGTTGCCCCGTTGGGCCGGGTCCCGCTGGTGTCGTTCGCGTCGCGTTGACGAAGGCATATAAACGTCTACCCCAGACTTGTACCCCAGACTGTAGCTCATCCCCAGATCTCTTCTTTTCTCCATCTTTTCACCCATTGACCTTGCGACATGGCTTCCGCGGACGAGAAGCCGACCGCTATCGGCATGGAGCATGTGTCCGACACTTCGATCGACCACGCCGTAGCGTATGAGGAGGGCAAAGAGGCTGGCCTAAGCGAGGCTCACATCTGCACCGAGGCAGACAGCAAACGCATTCTGCGCAAGACGGACATTTGGATGCTGTCGCTCCTTTGTATGGTGTATTTCCTGCAATCCGCCGACAAGGGAATCATCGGATTGACGGCCGTCTATGGTCTGAAGGAGGATGCCCATCTTAAGGGCAACGACTACTCAAACATCGGCAACATCGGATACTATGCGCAACTCGGTGTGCAGCCTTTGGCCGCGTGGATCCTCGTTAAGCTGCGATACCGCCACGTTCTTCCCGTCATCATCACATGTTGGGGTATTTCAGTTGCCGGTGGCCTCGGTGGTTCTAGGAATTACGCCGGGTTGCTGGCATCGCGATTCTTCCTCGGTGCCTTTGAGGCTATGGTCGTTCCCCTGTTCTCGATGATCACCATTGCCTTCTACAGGCGTTCCGAGCAGCCATTTCGGGTGGCTTGCTGGTACAGCTGCTATGGTCTTAGCACCGTTCTCAGTTCACCCATCGTTTACGGTTTCGCTCAGATCAACTCGTCCTCGCTGTACCGCTACCAGATGGTGTATCTCTTCTTCGGGCTCTTGACCATCGTAATTGGTCTTATCACCTACTGGTGGGCCCACGATAGCCCCGGCGAGGCTCGATTCCTGACACCGGAGGATCGCTTGAAGGCTGTTGATCGAGTGAAGGCGAATCAACAGGGTATCGTCTCGCACAAGTTCAACTGGAGCCATGTCGCCGAGGCCTTGTCTGAACCCAAGTACTGGCTGTACATGATCATGGTCATCGCTGTCAATGCCGGTGCCTCGGTCTCTTCGGTCTTCGGCTCCATCATCCTGAAGAACCTGGCTGGATTCAGCTCAGACGAAGCTGTCTTGCTGAACATGCCTTTCGGAGCGCTTCAGGTCGTTTCCATTCTTGGTGCGTCGTGGCTCGCATACCGTTTCAAGCGCAAGTCGCCATTCTTCCTTGGCTTGGTTACCATCGTCATTGTTGGTGTTGCTCTTTTGGTTGCGCTTCCGAAGACTCCGGATAACAAGGGTGGTCTGCTCGCAGGTTATTATCTGATTGCCTTCGTGTACGCCATTAACCCTCTGCTCATCTCTTGGATGGGCTCCAACTGTGCCGGACAAACCAAAAAGGCCATCTACTACACCTCTTTCAACGCCGGCAACTCTGTAGGCAACATCATCACCCCTTACATCTTCGACTCGAAGTTCCAACCGCAATACGTAAGTATTTATTCCTGTCGTATGCTCGGCCAAGAGTCCATCGCTAACATTTCGTTTCTAGGTTAACGCTCTCAAGGGTATCTTGATAATCTGGTGCATCCTCTGGGGAGTCGTGGTCGCTCAAGTCGTCCTTATCACCTGGATGCAGAAGAAGAAGTGCGATCAGCGTGAGGCGGCCGGTCTTCCTAGGAACCCCATCGATTACTCGATGAGCGGCCATTTCCATGAGGCAGGTGCTGAGGTCCACGGTGAGAACGGTCTGCAAGACATGACAGACAAGGAGAACATCTACTTCCAGTACTTGTTGTAGATGC